TGTCTGCTTCACCCTATGTCACTTCAGTTCAAATGAAAAACCAATCAATTTGATGATTCATACATTGAATGGAAGTTTCTATGTCACGGTGTATGTATATTCTATGCACATATATACCACTTCATGTATAAGCAGCACCATTCGTAAGGATATGATTTTCTAGATTCAATATATTAGTAACAAAATATCAAGCTTAAGACCCAACACAAAGAATACACTTTGTTTAATGTGAAGAAAATTGGAAAAATTTCGCAGCAAGAATAGAATAAAAAAAAAAATCGAAGTAAAGATAAATAAAGAAGACTTGATCTTCGTTCATTTGTTTTTCTTTGAAAATAGCGCGTCGCCGACCACTTGGCAGTGATAATGTGTTCGATATCGAGCATATATGCATGCTCGCAGCAAATTGCCATCGATAAACGTTATGGAAACGAAAGCGTAAATTATTTCTTTAGTAATAGTCGACGACGCGCGTGTTTGTTATTATATTTGTAAAAGATGCATGGAAAGGTGCATGCGCTCAATGGAACACAATCAAAAAACTTATAGTTGACTGTCGAGAAAGAAAGAAATGAAAAAGAAGCACAGAAAAATAAAACACACACACATTTTTGTTGTTCTCTCTTCGTCGTACATTGCACTAATTTATCTATTTCACCGTTCCCTTTCATATCATCATGTTAAATAAATTATAATAATACATAGCTGGTGGCTCAACACGAGCTGCTGTGCAGCTAATTTGTTTGCTGAAATCAAAATTGATGAATAATCTGCAACGAGATGGTTTTTTTTTATTCATTTGATAATCGAACGAAAAAATTATAGAAAAAAAACCGCAATAAAAATGATATGTGTCGTTTTTATCGTGATACTTGTGGTGTCCATGAAGACGACGGCAATGGATCAACATTGATAGAGGGGGAAACAATAAACGGGCCAGATATGACACGTTTTTTTATGATAGCTAATGTAATGGCTGATGATAATAAGTTTTTCTTCGAGATCTTGGTGTGTCTGTCAAATGTAATAGCCACTTATCAATGTGAGTGTGGAATTAGTTTAAATGGATTTTAGGCAGATACGTTAGTATGTTGCGAACATTGACTTCAACAAATCGAACATATATTTAGACCACATAGTCGTTTGCTACAGCGCCGCAGCCGCACTTATGCCATCCATCTTGCACTTTAAGTTTTGTTTTCGGATTTTATATTATGTTCATTATATTCAGTTCGTTTTGCCGCTACATTTTTTTCTCTCTCTCTCTCTCTCTCTCTCTCTCTCTCTTCGTGAGTACAGACTTACGCGCTCCATTCGCGCTGTAAGCCTTTAAATCATTTTTTTTCGTTTCTTTTCATTCATTCAACTTTCGTTAAAAATTTACTGAATGGTCTTTTGTTATTATTATTGAAGTCGGTGCACAATGCAATTTAGTATAAAACACACACACACGCGCGCGCCTTCACTCTAATGAATACGGTTTTCATATTTCATTTAAAGTAAATTTTCTCCCATATTACTCATTTGCGAACCGATTTTGCTTCGCTTTTGTTTTACTTTATTTTTTTGTGGTTGTTGAGTGTGTTTTGACTTTCTTATATTTGGTACCATCTCAGTTGCAGCATCTTACAGATAGATGAAAGAAGAAATCAGCAACTGCATGGCATCTCATGACATTCGATAGCGCGCGTTCAAGAATTTTCTCTGTTATTTATTTATGATTTTTTTTTTGCCAATTAATTTGAACTCTTGTTTTCACAAAATTCACTTATTTCGTGTGCGATTGTGCAGAGAAAATTGATTTTGAATGCACTGGTAAATGTTTACCAAACTTTCTATGCTTTCATTCGATTTCATATTATGTGGCTACCAATATACAACGGCCAACTAAAGCGGAATTTTATTGCATCTATACAGAGCCAAAGGCGTTAGTTTACTAATTGAGACTCTGCATTCATAACACGACACTTTTATTTGTATGTGTTTTTTCATGTTTCGCTTTGCTTTGAAAGTGCATTTAATGTTAATTCTTCTCCCGTTCTCTTTGATAATTGATAGAACGCGCCAATCAGCTAAACGGCGATGTTTACATGACGGTCTGCTATTCGATAATGATGTATAATAGAATAAATTATGGGTGATTTATTGGATCACAGTGCTTTTAATGTTGTAATCGAAGCGATTATGTTAGATTATTGTATATACCATATGAAATATCGTCACATTCACCACCATTCAATATACATATATTTATATATCATTTAACAAATGTTCAATAATTTTGTTGACAACTGGGGCGGTTCACTTTGATTTCGTCAACGAATACACATTCCACACAATAAAAGCAACAAGAAAACATCTCCGACAACACGTTTCAAATTCGATTTCGACAACTTCAAATAGATTATTGTTTTACCATTCAAACGAAATTTTACGGCAACCAAAGAATCTTAAATTATCAAATACTCCAACAAATTGACCGCTTGTAATTTGTGGCTTCGTGTGAATATTTATGAAAATTATTATGTATACGTACTTAAATTAAGACATAAAATGCGATGAATTTTGTTTATGTGAACGGAAAACAAGTATAAAATGTGATTACATGAAAATGTTCCGTGTATTTAAAAAGAAAACACATTTACACTACGAAAAAAATGTCTATAACTGTGCCAACTTCAAATTACGGCTATCAAAGTTCGTCTTATCGATTATCAAAAGCATTACGGAAGAACGAATACAGCAAACAGTTTGTATGCACTCTCTTTCCATCACAGATGCCGAGAATGTTCACAACGCTTTACAATTTTGATTGAATTTAATCATTCATAAACACTGTGCAGTGAAATTATTGTCGTTAAATACATTGTACCAGCCACTTTTTCCCTTCCTTTTTTAAATCGTACTTTCAATTTGCCGGCAAATCAGGTTCAAAAGCACATAAATCCCAGAATGACAGAGGAAGCAAGTGAAACGAAAAGAAAGAAAAAAAAATTAATTGATCACTTGATGCAGTCGGTTGATTCAATGTATTTCTAACCTTTGTGTAATCTTAAAAACTAAGTAGTATATTTTAAGAATTACAATAATTTGTCTTCAATACTTGAGTTCACATGGATGCAGCTGAATGATTTATACGAACCGGCACAGCGCACAAAAAGCAATAGAAATGAATTCTCCGTTTACTGCATGTTGATTTCGTCCACTTGTTTGAGTGGCAATAAAACCGTCTTTGTGTTCAAATCAATGGGAAGTATGACAACCAAGAGAAAGAAAAAGAGAGAAAACGATGTCAATTTTTTTTTTCATCAAAAAGAAATCATTCAACATATAATATCAAAACTGAATTGCTGATGCCATTCTTTCAACATACTTTTTTTTAGTACATATACAATACAATAGTTATTCCATTATATCAAAATTACGATATAAATATCCACTCCGTCTCATTTTCCGTTTGTGAATTAAAGAATGCAATAAATCGCATGCATCAATTCGGTTTGAATTCAAAATATGAAGAAAAAAACTAGATACAGACAAAAAATCAAAGAATAGAAAAAAATATCATTTCAATGATATTGCAACGGAGAATGAATGAAATCAACATCCAAGAATAATTCACCGGCAGTAGAACTGTTTGGTACCTTTTTATACCTAGCTTTACTAATTGTACACTATCTATTTTTTTTTTTTTGATCTTCTCTTCTCTCTCTTTCTGTTCTCCATCTGAATCACAAATGGTAAAAAAGAGAAAAAAAGATTTGAAATGATTGCACGAATAACGGCAACAATCATTAAATTTACAAAGTTTTCAATGAAGAAAATAAGTATGTCATGTTGCGATTTTGTTGGTTTCGAAGCCACTTTGATCGCATCGCAACTGGACCACGTTGTTGTTTTTATTGGTTTAACGGAAAGCGGGAGCGAGCAATGAGCGCTTGTATTTGTGAGCTCGCACACTTATGCTGCCAGCCATTTAAAATTACGCCATATGAAATACATTAAACAAAAAAAAAAGAAAGAGAGAGAACAATCGAACCAATTGATCTGATTGTGGTTAGTATGAGTTGTTCGCTATCTACCATTTCCAACCATTTTGACACAAATCTCAATTTAGACAAGTATGATCCATTCATTTATGCCATTTTATGTGTACAATTTTTGTTTTGCAAACATTCAATAAGCTCTTTACTTTCCATTTAATAATGATATCCGTATGTTGTAAATCATCACCCTTTGCCACAACACACACACACACACACATGCAGTACATAAATGTAAATAAAAAGCAATAATAATAATTCAATGGCAAATTTTAAACGACTTTATTAGTCACATGTTGATTCATCAACATGTGCAACATTTAGCTTCTTCCTGTCATGAAAACCTTTCAAACATTTCGATAATATTTTTCCACTTTTGATACAGTTATTTGAATGTGTTGAAAAATTGATAAGTCTATTGCGTTGATCTGACCCATAAACCAATAAATGAATATATTCATAATTTTTGTTAATTCTTAATAAAAAAACAAGACGTTCGTACGCCAACCGGCGAACTCCGTTTTTTCAAATTTTGATTCAAATGATTTGAATGAAGGTGATTACTAGACGAAACAAATAAAACGGTTGCATTATAAGGCAAAATACCTAAAATGAATCAACCAATAAATAATTAACCTGTTAATTATATGTTGGTACCAATATCCAACCGACACGGCACAAGCATATCTTCGGCCGTACGTGTATTTATTAAATATAAATGCAAACATGGTTCGGGCATCCAGTAACCAAGTTTGATATTCAAAACAAAATTGGAAGAGGCATCACCTCTCCCTCTCTCTCTCTCTCTTCAGTTGATTCAACGTTATTTTCTTCTGCATTTTGAAAAAAAAAAACATCGACCACCATTAAAATTGGCATAATGAATTCATTAAAAATGTTAATTGATTTAATTAAAATAAAAAAATATATAATAATTTTTATTTCTTTTTTTTTCAGAGATACGCAAAGCAACGTGGAACGGACGGCACTCTGAATATGTCTGATTGAAAAGTGAAATGCAAACCAATAAAAGAAAATTGAATTGAAGTGAAATGAAAATGACATCCATCCAAGTGTATTTGTTCGCTCGAAAATATATTTTGAAAATATGATACAACATATTCGTTATATTTTAATAATATGAAAATTCTTTTTATTAAGTGCGCGTGTGAATAACAGTGGTACGCGTATGGAAAAATAACCAAAGCCAAAAAAAAGAGAACGAAACAATTCAATATATATTTTAAGTGCAAAATAAGAGTGCAACGAACACTGTAATATTTATATCGGCGATCGTTTTCCACTCAACCATCTTCCATTCATCAATAATAGTAACAAATACACAACGAGCCAGGTGAAATCGTGTCAAAATGTTGATAAAATTGAACACTTTTTAAATAACAACGCAATTTTATTCTAAATGGAGGATTTAAAGCATTCCACGACTAAATTAAAGCAAACGGATTACGAGGTGAGAATCATCATGTTTTTGTTTTGTTCTTTTCTTTCATTTTATCATTTTTCGATAATGATTTCATTTACCTGACATTGAATTTTGGCGTAGCATTTATCACACCTGTGGATTTGTTTCGAATTTCATTCTTCTTTAATTGAAAATGGTCTCCATTATCGAACATAAAAGATTCTCTGTGATAACTTGATTGTGTTAGATTTCCGTATTCATTCATCGTACTTTGTTTGGGCTCGTTTTTGAAGTTTAAATTTTCAGCACTGTTTGTTGACACAACGAAAAATCGGTTTGAAACATGTGGAAGAATTTCTAGGTGGAAAAGAGTCTTCATTCATAACTATGAAAAACTTAATTTCCAAAACAGAATGATGTGAATAGAGCTTTTTTTTCAAAACCTAAAATAAATGGGAGTTAACATTGATTTTGAGTCAAAGACTGTTCGGTCGTTGACGACACCATACTGTGGAAGCGATGTCACTTTCCTATACAAAATCAGTACTGAACTTTGTTCAAGGTATTGGCCCTCTATCAATGTTTTTGGTGCTAATTTACTAAGCAGTTGACATAACATCACATCTTGCCAACTGTGTGTGAACGATACAAACTCGTGTATTATTGGTTCGGAGAAAAATTGTTATTGGTGCTCACGTTGGAACAAAGAAATTAGTTTGCTTCCATCCTTTGGACGACACAGTTCTAAGCCGTTGACAATTGAATTGAATCACCTGAATAGTTAGCAGTTTGAATTTACACAGTCCGTGTTTATGGTTTTGTATATCATTTCAAGTTTTTATTGAGAAGAAGATAAAAATAACTACAGCTGCAATGGCAATGACAATGACTGCGTTATGCTTGTTCATTGCAATGGATTTGATGTGAAAATGATGAATCATGTGCTTTTGCAGCCGCCGCATCATACAATAACTTGCATGTAATTGGTCAACTGGCATGCACAACGAAGGTAAACCATTTTGCATAGTCATTGTTTTCACCCAGTCTGCTGTTTTTTTTTTAATTCTTTTCGAAACTGATATGGTTGTATTTTCTTCAACAATTATTGTTTTCGTCCTTAAACGATTTGATAAACATGTTCATTTGCTCAATAATGAGAAATATGTTCATGGACTTTACCGTTTTTGCAAACAATGACATTCAAAGTCATACAGTCAGCTTAATCCTGTATAAAGAATGCACTGTCTATGCCTATTTGAACAGAGAGTCCAGTTTACTTAATTTATTTCTGATAACAAATGTCGAGAGTGACAAGATAAGATGCAAATACTATGTTGTTATTATACAATAGATAGATGAAAAAGGGATTCTCAGTTCATGATAATAAAGAATTACATTGGGTTTATTTATATTGAAGCATTAAATACTATGGCATGTGAAATAAAGCTTATTTATGAACTTAAATTTTCCCTTAAAATATTGAACTTAAATTTATTTATTTTTTTATCGCTTTTTCATATTTCCGAAAAACGCTGCGCGTTATCAGCGTTTTTTTTTTTTTTTTGTCAATATGAAGAGAAGGTATATTTTTCTCCCGTTTACAGACCGTATCCGTGATAGTATGTGCGAGTAAAATTTTTGTGACTGAGCTTTCGAATCAATGATATTAATATTATTAGTTTACCAAATTTCGATTTTATATACAATATTCAATATTATCGATATACCTGCGAAAAGCTGAAGAAGAAAAATGTTGATATACAAAATGAACCCCAATAGAATGGAAAATACTACCTGCATATAGCGATTTTTTTTGGTTTAATTTGAACATAAATTTATGTTGCCTAATTTCTATTGATTCGGCACAAAAAGGGGAGTATCTTACGAACAAAAATAAAATATTTTATACACAGCGAATACAATAAATTCGTTGTCAGCCGTTTTTTTTTTTTTAATTTCGAATTTTCATTCTTCAAAAATAAACAGGCGTTGACACCTACGTTGTTTTGATTTTTATTGAAAATTCTTAGCTGCGTCCTTGTTATTTTTGCATTATGCCTGAAAACATGTTGAAAATCTGCAGATTTTTGTATTTATTCATTCAATTAACGGAAATCCTTGAAATATCGAACGAATCATTTCGTCCCATGAGATTTCGTTTTAGAGGAGATTTATTCTATTATTTATATGAATGAGAGAAATAAATTAAATTCCATTCAATCATGATTTTTATGGGAAATAAAAGGAATTCATCATATTCACACATTCACAATACATCGTTCCATATATTATTTTATATATATATATATATATATTATATACTTCTTATCAGAACATTCTTCAATACTATAGGCAAAAAAGCAACCTTAAAGTTTTAATGGAGTTGAATTGGAAAAATTATCGTTGAAGTGGTACGAACAGGAAGAAACTAGAAAAAACGTTGATTTGATTGACATTTTGAAAAATGGCTTTAATGTTCTATTTTGCTGATACGCTTGAATGCCGTGTTAGTATATGCACAGGTAGCGCAGACGTTAGAATGGTTGAGATTTGCTTTTGTGGTCTTATTCTGATTTTAAAAAAACAAGTTCATGTTGGTATGCTACTTTTGAGCCACAGAAAAATGCCAGCCAGAAAATTATAAACCACATTTCGAAAATATAAGTTTTTCGTGTATCTCATTATCCTTGTATCGTTAACACGTTTGAAAGAGTAAATAATTTTCAGTTCGGTGTATTTCTGCTACGGCTGTTGATGATGTTGATGATGTTATTCATACACACAACTGCTGTAATACCTGTTCAATCGAAACAAAATATTATGTATACGCATGAGAAGAGCGGAAAATAGCACAATCTATAAACCGATGAAAAAACGAAACATTCAACCGCACCAGATGTGAATACAATAGAGAAAGAGAGATGTGAAAAGCATCGCTTGGTATCGCACAGCGCTTTAAAGCTTTTCTGTATTTTCTCAATTGGCTGAAAAATCATATACACTCCATTATACACACATATATTGTATATATTATATACACACCATCATTCGAATCAGAAAGTAACAACAACGCGTGGGTATGTCGTTAAATGTGTATTTTTATCATTCAGCACGTAATTTTCAAGACCAATAGCAGCAGCATAGTTTGATACGATAACAATTCCAACATGACATCGAGTTTCACACAATTTGCATAGTTGGACAGTCATCACAAAACGAAAGCCTTCCAAAATCACTTCCGAATCGTGCACGTGTGTGTGTGTGTGTGGGTGTGTTTATGTATCTTTTCTTTGTGTGTGCTTTCTTCATGGGGTGTTTGAGTTGAAGAAAATAAAAATCGTTCACATTTGATATTAGAAAGGGAAAGTTCAATATGATGTTCATTCAAACAAGTTTCGATAATAGTCGAGGAAATGAGAAATTATTGAGGAATAAAATGGTTCAATTTTTGTTATTGTCGCAGAGCAGTGTTGGTTGCAGCATTTTGAACAATTTTTTTTACCAAAAAAACATAGACATATTCTACATTAAAAAAAAAGATTCAATTTTTCCTTTTGTTTTCTATTTCAAAAAGGAAACTGAGTATAGTTCAAATGAGTAATATCCACAAAACGTTCATAATATCCTCTCAATATCAACATCGGAGCAAACAAAGAAATTAAAAAAATAATAATAATAATTTGTGCTTAAAATCGAATTGAAAACAAAAAATCAAAATGAAACTTCAAATGTGTAAAAGTGTTGGATCATTCATTGACGATCGAATGAATTAAGAGAGTATTCTGACTTATTTACAATGCAAATGCAATTCTGATTCAATTCTGATCGAACTGGAGCTAGTGATAATCTGAATTGATAAAAGAAGCGATGTTAAAACATTATTATGTATCACCGAAAAAACGTTCGAAATCGCAAAGCTCGGAAGCGAGTGACGGCAGCGACACGGCAACATCTTGCATCGAACATCATGAGTATTTAACTGATTTTATGCGAGCGACGAAAAATATTTCACGAAAAGCTTTTCACAGTTTTCATGAGATAACCTCGAGTGAGCCAAATGTCAGCATTGCATCGTCGCACACCATACAGGCGTCGGTGGTACTATCGGCATCGGCCGATCCATCACAGCATGATCATGAAAATTCACACAGTTCAGAGAATACGACACCGATTCAAACACCACAAAAATCCTATGAGACGCGTTTAACCCGTATGAGATTGGCGCATGCATTCAGCACTGCGGTAACATACAGTCGAAGTCGTTTCGCCCATTTGCCATCTGGAACCAGTTTTTGTTCAACTCACATGTAAGAGCAAAAAAAAAAAACAAATAAACAAAAAAAGATAGTAGATTGATAAGTATTATATCAAATCGAAATGCAAGAGTGGGCGATGATGAAAATCAATGATTTTCTAAAAAACCATGTGATTCATATTGCGCTTGCGATTGATTCACAACAATCCCGCCGCCAACAAATCAATTCGTTAAGCTTATATATATCCAATGTTATATACATCTTTTGTCTTTGTACGGAAGTGGCGCTCATGGCATCGGGAACGCAGAACCAACAAGTACATCAGGACTGACGCCACCGGTTCGTCGATGGAATTCATTCCATTCAACACGCGGTGAATGTCATCCAAATAAATTTCGCCGAGAACGAAAATCTACATCACCCTCAATTGTGTAAGCATTCGAGAGCCCATCTCGAAATGTTCTATGTTTCAAAATTCCATTGTTTTTTTTTTTCTTTCTGTCTATTTTACATACATAAATATATTAAAACATAACAAAAACACAACGAAACAATAACAATAACATATAATATGCGAAGTTATAACCAATGATTTTGAATTTTATTTATCAAAACACAACACAAACCATGCTAACAAACAATCAAACGAATAATAATAATATTTTTGCTCGTGTACACTGTACAATTGTACATATATGTTTTTGTATTGTTTGTTTTCATTTTTTTTTTAAATTTAAATCTCTCGTTTAGTGTGTTTGACTGATAAAATAGTCCTTCTCATGCCTCTGAGTGCACCTATTTCTTCTTTTTTTTTTTGTCAGTGATTCGTTGTTGGATTTGTAGTTAAATTTTCCAAAATCAATATTCATTGATTTAGCCAAAAATGTTGATTGTATTTTTGTTAAAAAAACATTTTATACTATCCTATCTGATTGTACCGTAATTACTTCTAAACAAAAAATCAATAAAAGAATTACGATGTTATTTGTTGTTATTGGTCGTAGACTCTTAGTGTTTTTTTTCTCTCTTCATTGACATATTTTCTTCAAATTCATTAGTGACTTTTTAATGTGTTTGCACTTTTTTTTACTGGAAAACGATCAATACGAATGACAATTGAATTTTATTCCATTTAAAGAATAAAACTGTGTCTCGTTTCATGGTTAAAGTAAATTCAATGAGATTATTATATTATATTAAAAACAATATTCAACACCTTGGAACTGAGGAGGGGGTGTTAAATCAAACTGAATTAATGGTTGTGTAATCCAAGTCTTAGATTCCAAGAACAAACTCCCCTGACAACAAACGTTTTTTTTTTTCTTTAGTCTAGAAATCCATGTCGTGCCAATCAATATATTTCTTTATTCAAAAGCAATAACCAAGTATCGTCAAATCTATCATCATATATATTCGAGAAAATTCTCCACTTATTCTTTATTTTCCACTTTTCCAAAAAACATATTTTCTCTCGAAACCTATTGTTAACATGAAAAGAGCCAATTTCGGAGGCATCAATAAATCCAATATCCAAATAGGATTCAAATACATGTCATTTGATTCAATGGGAATCATATTTCATTTGTTTTGTGATGATTGCAGGCCACATTCATCGTTGCAAAAATGTTTAGCATACAAAACGCCCTAAACTCGTGTTCATTGATTAATTACGACGCATTTGGAATTACATTTAATCAAAAGGTGACAAAGGGTACAAATCACTCTTGGAAATTCTCTGTGTACTAGTACGTCCAATACCTAATACGAAAAGATGAAAAATCAAGATCGATTTCATTTTCCACTCTCTCTATATATTCTCGATGTATTGTACGTTTTTGTATTAATATTTTCTTTTTTTTTTGTTTTGAATAGTTGTTCACGAATATCTGCGAGGTTAGATTACAGTTGGCATGCACGCAGCTCTTCCATATTTTATTGTTAATTTGCGTGTGGGCGTATAGTATATATGTTCATTTCTTATCGTTCGTCCTTATTTCCTAAAATGAATTGCATTTTAGTGTTCCAGCATACCACTCCCGCATTCACGTCAATGTACATGTGTGAAATTTCACCGAAGAGATTCATCTGTTCTATTCGAAAGAAATGTTCCGATGATGTTTATTAATTATATATTCCCACTATTCGAATGAAAATTTACTTAGAACTCTTTCAGCATTGTTAATTCGTTGTAGTGTTTTATTTTTGTTTTTCTTTGGGCCAGTCAAGGGATTTTCAGAATTTTATTATCACGAATGTTATTTTGAAATGACATCCCCCAGGCAAGCTCACCACGAACTCCATTTGCACTTGCGTACCATTTCCACAAAAGTAAATAATTGTTGAACCCACCACATATAGTGAAAACCAATATACGAGTGATTTTTTTACCAGCGACATACATCTGTTTTTGTCTCACTTTTTTGTACCATTTTTTTTTTTTTAGTATGACCGCATGCAAGAAATTCCGTTTGTTTGCTCTGTTGTTCTTACTAAAAAATTTCTTCGTTTGAAATTTGGATATTCATATTGATGTTGTTTTCCATGATCTAACTATTCACTGCCGTGAATTTGTTCGTTCTTTTATCACTTTGTTTTGTTAAAAAGAAATTTAATGATTTCTTGAATAATATAATTGATATAGAACAATTGAATTCTCATTACTTTCTATTTTGTTGGATTTGAATTTATCTTCTAGTTTTGTTTGCAAATTCATTAAATTAATGACAGCAAAAGAAAATCAAAGTTATGGTTTTTCGATTTATTTGTTTGGTAAACAAAACCCCTATAACCTTGGCCAAACGATGCTCCGAACACGAGTTTGTTAAATAATTGGTATTTAAACGAATTCTGTGGTTCTACCATTTCAATGAAATACGCATGAAAATCAAGAGAACATGAAAATTTTCCCAAATTTCTTAAAAATATTAAACGTATTGGAAAATTGTAAAATATATCTCTTGCGTAGGTTATAGGGATGTGCGACGATTTTTTTTTTTTTGAAATGAAAAGATAAATCTGAATGTTTAGTGTGATAGATGTCCCGTGATGAGTTTCTTTATCATATGTGCTTGTTTTGTGTTCGCAGTATAAGCAGAAGGAATGGTGATGGTTTTCGTCAGCTCAGTGAGTGTTTTGTTTCCGAAACACAGGAGATACTAGCTGTAAGTCGTGTTTCTAATAAACTCTTCGCAACTTTTGTTCTTTAAAAACAAAAAAAGAACGAATCGATTTCAACGAACTTACTAAAGAGTCGATCATTCGTACGTTTAACAGACAGACGAATCAGAAATAGGTAGTGTAGCAGCAGAAGCCGCATCCAAAATCGACGATTTGATTCGACACGATAACAACGACGAAGAAATTGAAGACGTCGAAGATATCGATGCAATAATTGGTGTCGCAATTGTAAGCATCATTCTTTCACCCCCTGTGACACTAATTCATGTGCCTGAACCCTTTTATATATGTTCCCCTCTTTCTTGGCGAATAGTTGTCTTATCATTTTTTCTTTGTTTGACATTCTTGTTTGATTCTCTTAATTTTTAACTCTGTGTACGTTAAATGTTAACCCGTCAATCGACGTCCATTTATTTATTTTTTTAAATTCAATTTTACCCCATTTTTCACATGGATTTGACTTGAACTGAGCCGTTTTGTGTCTGTTTTTTTCTCATTGTCTTTCCGAAATAATAGCCCAAACCGAAAATTATGGATCCCCCGCTTCATCATACGCTGCACTCATCACAGACAGCTCTATCGGCAAATGTCAAGCGGGTAAGGTTTTATCAGTTAAGCTAATGCCAATGTTTGCATTTAGTCTTCCGTTCGTAGATTTGGACTCTGTTGTAATTTTATGTTTATTCAATATTGATTTTGGTAGAACTTTATATATGATTTGGTCGTTATAATGTGTGGCATTTTTATTTACGTAGCGTGTATTTTAATTGTAGTCAGTTGGGGTCGGAAACATTATCCGATGTCTTCTTTTCAGTCTTTTATCGCATTCGTGGACGGAAGAAACGAATCTCTATTTATCGTAGTTTCTGTTTATTAATAATTGTTGAATATAATTTAATTTTCAGTTTGGCAGCGGCCGACCAGAATTATACCAAAATCAAAAGTGCAATCGTGGCTCTCATTCAAGTGACACAAGTTCAGCATATAGTGGGTCCGACACAATGACATCTGTACATAGCTCGTCACTAGATGCCGATGAGGTGGATCTCTCTGGCTTAGTCGAATCGGTCGTCGATTCCGATGAGGAAGACTTGGCAGAAAGCATGGATGTAAGTACCACTTGTTGAATTTATAATTTATTTATTTTTTCACATTTTGATTTTTTTTTTATAGAGTTTGGCAGTACGTGATACGGTTCGCGAGTGTTTGGAAAAAGATCCAACCGATCGAACAGAAGAAGATATAGAAACTTTGCTTGAATTTACAAAAAATCTGCAGGCATTCACAAATATGACATTAGCTGTAAGAAGAGCATTGTGCTCGGTAATGGTGTTTGCCGTCGTAGAAAAAGCGGGTACAACGGTGATGAATGATGGCGAAGAGCTGGATTCGTGGAGTGTGCTCATCAATGGTCATGTCGAAGTTGAATATGCAAATGGCGAAACGGATGAGCTTCAAGTCGGTGATAGCTTTGGCATATTGCCAACAATGGACAAATTATATCATAAAGGTGTTATGAAAACAAAATGCGACGATTGTCAGTTTGTGTGCATCACACAAACCGATTATTATCGCATTCAACATCAAGGTGAAGAAAATACAAAACGCCACGAAGAAAATGGACAATTAGTTATGGTAACTGAATTACGGCATGGTACTATGGAAGGCAATGTACGTCGAGGACACGTGGTAATTCGGGTAAGGATATAATTTTTGTTTGTTACAAACTAGATGTAGTAACTGTTTTTTTCTTCTTTCGTCCATTTGATAAATAGGGAACACCGGAACGTTTAATGGTTCAATTAATTGAAGAAAACTCAATGACAGATCCAACGTATGTGGAGGACTTCTTGTTGACGCATCGCACATTTATCACATGCTCGCAGAATGTGTTGCGACAGTTGTTGCAATGGTTTGAAAGTGAATCAACGCTGCCGTCTCAAACGACCGCCTCACCAGTACAAATACGTGATCGTGTAACACGTGTGATTTTGTTATGGGTCAACAATCACTTTACGGATTTCGAAACTGATCCACATATGATGAAATATTTGGAACAATTCGAAAGTGGACTGGAAAGTAAAAATATGCATGACCAAATTCATTTGTTGCATATTGCATGTGCGGCAAAGGCTCGAACAAGAGTCGTTACATTGGCACGATCCTCACGTGACGAAGACTTACACTTCAGTATTATTGGCGGCTATGAGAAGGGTGGCTGTGGCATTTTCATATCAAATGTTGACAAGAAAACAAAACCCGAAGATGTCGGATTGAAACGTGGTGATCAAATTCTTGAAGTGAATGGCAACAGTTTTGAACACATGAAATTGGCACGTGCACTTGAATTAATGACTGGCACAACACATTTGTGTATAACGGTTAAAAGTAATTTACTGGCATTCAAAGAAATGCTACAAACACCCGACAACAATTCACCACGACCGAGATCCGGTCGACGAACGGTTGCTTCCTCCGAATTGGCACGATTGCATTCGCAGAATAGTCAACGTGTGCGGTTATCATCCGCCGACCTTCTGACAAGCTCAACACCATTCGATCAAACCGATCATGTTTCCGCAACAAATAGCGATTCAACATCAGTGCACATGCCATTCTCATCAAATCTTCCACCAACAGCGGCGAAAAAAGATTCGGCCACGTCCATATCATCATCACACATAGCACCACCGTCATCTGCAAGCAAATCGGGTTTCATGACCCTTGGGCCAAAACGTCGCCTCCAAAAAGCACTCATCAAAATGAATCTGTATCCGAAAAATTCCAGTGCCGCTCTGCTCCTCGATACAGATGACCAAGAAACACAATCAGCTAGCTCATCGCCCATTTCCACAACATCGCCGTCAAATGGTCCAGGTAAGTTTATAAATATTTTATGTCAATATGCATTTCGGTTGTTTGAACTTTTTTTTTTGTTTTCCATCCAATTTTTCAGCCACAACAATAACAACACCAACTCCAACCGGTTCAATTGGATCAAATTGTTCGATTGCAACGTCAACAACATCATCACATACGGGTGATTCAGCATCATTGGCCAATGTTAGTGCGACAAATAAAACGAGCGGCAGCAATTTATACCATTCGCAAAGTAATCCTGACCTAACCACAATCTATTATGAAGATTTGCGTGCATCGGATTATCCAGAGCATGTGCTTAAAGTATATAAGGCCGATCAGAGCTGTAAATATTTGTTGGTGCATAAAGAAACCACAGCCCATGAAGTAGTTATGTTGGCACTACAAGAGTTTGGCATCCATGAGACTAGTTCGAATTTTTCATTGTGTGAAGTATCTGTCGGCGAAGGTGGTATGATAAAACAACGTCGATTGCCCGATCAACTGCCAAATTTGGCCGAACGAATTGGTTTATCGGCCCGATATTACCTGAAAACAAACGGTATTACGGAAACACTTGTACCTGATGACATGGCACCAGAACTTGTTCGCGAATCGGCCGTTTATTTTTTACAATTGAATGCCAATGAGGTGGCCATTCAGCTCACCGTTCAAGATTATGCAATATTCCGGCAAATCGAATCGACCGAGTATGTTGATGATTTGTTTGAAATACAGAGCAACTACGGTGTGCCAATGTTGAAAAAATTCTCCGAACTAGTCAATAAAGAAATGTTTTGGGTTGTAACCGAAGTGTGTAGTGAATATAATATGGTTAGGCGAATGAAAATTGTTAAGCAATTCATTAAAATTGCCAGACATTGCAAAGAATGCCAAAATTTTAATTCAATGTTTGCAATATTGTCGGGACTGGGTCATGCGGCTGTGTCGCGATTACGTCTCACATGGGAAAAATTGCCATCAAAATACCAAAAGCTATTTAACGATTTGCAAGAACTTATGGATCCATCACGAAATATGTCGAAATATCGCCAACTTGTGTTGACTGAACTAAACGAACAACATCCAATCATTCCATTTTATCCCGTTGTTAAAAAGGATCTGACATTCATTCATTTGGGCAATGACACATATGTAGAGTCGCTAGTGAACTTTGAAAAATTACGTATGATCGCCAAAGAAATACGGAGTTTAACGTACATGTGCAGTTCACCATACGATCTACTTACAATGCTTGAAATGAGAGGACAACCGCCGAGCGCTGCAATGGTTGCACTTAATCAAATGGTACACAATGTGCAAAATATACATCCACAAAAATGTAAGCGATTCAAACGATGATTAAATTTTTCATTTTTTGAAACATATTTACTATTTGTTTTTTTTTTTTCAATTTTAGCACATACGCATTCGCATACACATAGCAGTGGAATGTCTGCTTTGGCATCAACATTGGGCGCATTGGCTGTGAGTGCCTCTGGACAAGCTACAGTGAAAAGAAGGAAGAAGTCGGCAGCTGCACCAAATCCAAAGAAAATGTTCGAAGAAGCGCAAATGGTGCGACGCGTTAAAGCTTATTTGAATAACATAAAAGTGATAACAGACGAAGACAATCTGCATCAATTGTCATTAGAGTGTGAGCAAAGCGGTGGTTCTGCGCCTAGTTCTGTGACGATACGAAAACGTCATCCGTCACCAACATTGTCTACGACCAGCTCCACAAGCTCAACCAGTGAAGGCAAAAAAGTTCAAATGGCTGGCGGTGTGTCCATCATTACAAATAACGGTACGATTTTTTTAAATTAAACACTCTGTTCAGATGATTCGAAATTCAATATTATTTTAAATTTATTTTCAACCAAAAATTTATCATTTTTTCTTTTATGACAGATCCACATGATCGTCGACCGCCAAAGTTTGGGGCCGCATCACCACAGGCCGTTAAAAAGCTTTTGTCGTTATCTGAACAAACGAAGACTCGACCGCACCAACCTCGACACTTTAACAACTTGATGACACATGTTGGAACTGGCAACACAACAAACACTTTTGGAATGTGTGCCAATACAACAACATCGATTGGCTTGGGTATGCAATTTTAATCGAATCAGTTACACAAAATCGAAAAAAATATTCAAGATAAAACAATATAATAATTGAAATGAATTGCAAAAATTGATTTTCAGTAGCCGCTGATACAACTCTTCGTCAATCGTCAGGATTACCATCACTTTATTATCATCACAATTCTGGTTTACCAACACTATCATCTAGTCCATCGCCAACACCTTCGCCAAATGCTCTTCGAACACAGAGTGCGTGTAATAATCTTATTTGTTAACGAAAAAAAAATAAGAAAAAATTCGATCATATAAAATTGTATGGTTTTTCTTAGGTTCAGTACCGTATTCTGCGCACAATTATGGTTTTGGAAATCAAACGACGAACGTTTGTGCCAACAATACTGGAATCGCATGTTTACCAACACGTGCTGTACACGAACGATCACATTCCGATGGAACAACGGCACCATTACCATCAGTTGATCTGTCTATGGAGAGCAGTAGTGTCACGTCACTGAGCAATTTACCACTTCGAAAACATCCCATAACAGGTAATTACTTAATCAACAAAAGGCGAGGTAATATAGAGAAGTGAACGAAAATCAAACATCATCAACAGGTTGCTACAATAATTGAAATCAGAAAAAATGAACAATTGATCTATTACTCGTACTGACTGAGATTCTCAAAAAAAAATCCATCAAAATACATATATTTGGTGATGAGATGTCAAATCATCATCTCAAATAGTAATATAGTAATGTAAATAAATGTCATTGCTGCTGTTCCATATTCAATATATGGATTTTTCTTTGTAAATATACTTCACAAATAGAATCAATATTTCACACTTTCCTTTCTAATTCAATGCATCATTATATCATTTGCACCCAAGAAACGCACAAATCTAAACATATGATCAAAGAAGGGTTTCTCTATCATTTTAAAAATTCAGCACGCGACAATATCACACATATAATAATTTTCAACTTTGCAAATTTGAAAAAAAAAAAATTGCGCAAAATTTGGAATTTATCATTGTGGTTTGGGACTTCGACACATTTTCTCTTCCGATACGTCATCGCACTTGGCTCCTAGCAGTTGGAGTTTGGATTAGACTATATATATTTTTTAATCAAACGATAAATTGTTTATATTTGCATTAAATTGTTGCATTTGAGTGATTGTATGATGAATGAAGAAAGAAAAATGTTTCGTTATCCCAAAACATTAATTTTTAATATTGAAATCATCACTGAATCACATTTGAATTCACGATTGAATCGACTGAACCATTCGCATTTCGAACCATTTTGAAGGCTCATTAACATCAAATGATAGTGGACATGGATCATACATTCCGAGTGGAAGTGGCAGTGGTGCCGTCAGTGATTTTCATTCCGATAACTTTAACGGCAGCAGTAACAATGGTGGTGGTCTTTATCAAGTTGCATGTTCTATTGTTCACAATTCACCATCCCCGATAACATCAAATGATCGTTTCCATCCGCAACGACGTCATTCTGCTATATCGCACGCATATCCAGGTACGTTTTAATTTGTTTCGAATGTTTGTGTGTGTGTGTGTGTGTGCGAGGGTCATAGTATGCATATGTGAAAATGGTGATGGATAGCAACACGTACAACAGAATTTGCTCTCATCATTTTATCCTATTATTCTGTACAGTCTGACACACAATATGTGCACTACAAAGCAAATCAATCAATAACCTTTTTAGAAAATAATGGTTTATTTTTAGTCAGATTTAACACGCTCAGGAAAGCTTTCCATTGATGCGTAGTGTTGGTTACATAAGTACACGCATGCAACAAATCAATAATATCGATATTTATACACATGTTGATTAGAGATTTTGAAAAATAAAATTGAGAAAAAATATTTTAATTTATAAATAAAGATTTGCTGTTGACCGCAACAGATTCGTCGATTAACATATCTTTTTTTAGTCTATTTCACCATATATTCAATTATTCATCATCATAATCATCATAAGCATACAGATCATAAGGCTATGCCTTGTTTGTTGTCGTGAAACTATATCATTGCACGTATCCTGGGTTCACTAATAACTGAAATTATCCTATCGTACACATTTTTAATACCATCTATTTATTTTCAATATGATTTATTTATTTATTTCAAACGGTTTACAAACAAATTTTCATAGAATTATTCAGAGAGTAAAAAAACCTAACAAATAGAAAGAATTTTTCTCGACGAAAGAGGGATAATATCAAAATCTGACCCTTTGGACTCCTGGTCAGAAGCTATGTCATTAAGAGTCGACCATTGTTTATGACAGAGAGAATTAAAAATAAATGGATAGAAATTTGTTTTGAAAATGAATTTGTTTCCTGTGCATTTCAATAAATCAATATTTTTATTTCGTTTTATATATTTATTTAATACCTTAAATGCATAGTTTCTCTTCTGAAATTGGTGTTTTCTACCAAATCTAATGTATTTCGATTTTCTATTAATGTTCACAGCGCACAATGTTGGAATCAATGGACCACATTTATTACCAAATAATGCACCACATGTCAAAACCTGTACAAATCTGATAGCTGGAAGCGGGAACGGTGCAATAAATAGTGCCGGCGTGGGTAATCGCTTACAGCAAGGTAATGAGACAAGTTTATATGAAAATATGTCTACAAATCCATGAAGAATAGGCATAACGTACTTGTAAACATGATTTAATAAGAAACGATTTATTTTTTTCATTGTTATTCAGTTCCACCAGCCTACAATGTAGCTGCACAGCGCGCTCTATTGCATCGATTAGGTAGAGCTCATAGTCATGAGGGCGTTACGTCTTCCATAAGCATATCATCAGCACCATTAGGATTCTATCAACCCAATACCGAAGACACTGGTATGATAAATCAATCATTAATAAAACTAGGATTTTTTTTTATTGATAACTACATCAGAACTTGTTAATTAAAATGAATCGTTTTTTTTTTTTAATTTATAGATGACGATGGTGCACAGGTATCGGCTGTGTAAACAAATCCAATCTCATCAATCGCTTCTTCTTTTGTCTTTCCATTTCTACGTGAAACCTAGATATTTGTAAAATTCGTCAACGTACCATTTTATTGTGTGAAACGTACACATATACCACACTGATAGTGTGACACTGTATAAGCCAAATATCAAACAAACTACAAACAAAATAATAACATCAACAACAACAAGGAATTTTCAGCACAAAACCATTTAACAAAAAATAACAACATACAAGCAATCGAACGTCACTCCTTTTATATAAATGCATGCAGACTAGATCAAAATAATAACTGTAATACCGAGCGCATACTATAACTGGAACAAATGCCAAAATATAAATATCCCTATTGCCTTCGACTTGTTATGAACTATAATTGAGAAAGAATTCTTTTTTTTTTGAAAAGACCCTTGTATCAAAAATGCAATTATTTACTGTAATTGAGGATTTAGAACAAACATACGCCAAATTGTGTACTATATTATAGTATATGAATTAACTATTTGGCTTGATGTTCGACAACAATAACAAACGATTTATATGCAGTAAATAAACATATTTATGAACAAATTTTCTTTAGGTTACAAATTTTTTTTTTAGCTCTGCGTGTATTCGAATCTCAGCTTTCTGTGTTTAAACAAATAAAAAAGAACGATTAAATTTATTCCAAAATAAAATCACTTATTATAAAATATAAATTTATTATTGAACAAAAAATTCATTGAAATGAATTTTATTGAATATGAAAGAGAAAAAAAAACTATGTAATACCTGGTGAAAACAAAAACCAATCATGACATGATTTATTTACGTATTCGTATACTTTACATGCACATTAAATGAAACAAATATTAAGAGAAAAAAAATTAATCATAATTCACTCATTTATTGTAAAATATATAACAAATCATTTTCAAAAAAAAACAACAACAAAATGCATGAGCTGGTGCAAAACTACAAAGATTATTTTTAATATTATTTAAAATGCATAAACCAATTGAATTTATTATTATTATTATTGTATTAATTTTATTATAATTACTATATGATAGCTAGACATTTATGTATCTCTCTCTTACACACACATACCCACAAAAAATGAACAATTTATTATAAATGTCCGTTGTAATTGGACCGAAATTCATATACATGAATTGAAAGATGCAAATCTTTCACAAATTTATGAGAAACAATAGATTTGATTTTCATGAATATTTCATCAAACACATATAGCACGTGTTTGTGTTTTCGTATCTGATTTGTTTGTCGGTCGTTGACCTATGTATATACAATTATATGCAAATAACGCGATAATTTTATTGGCAGCATAATTCCATCGGTGATTCATTATAAGTCAGGTTATATAAGAAACCAACCTTCCGATATGTTTAAAATGAAATTAGAATGTATGACAGCAATAGAAACAAACAGCATCAACAACAGCATCCATAAAACAATTCATCAATTTAGATATATTTTGCTCTGAACAATATACAAAAAGAAAACAATGCCCAATCTATAAGTAACTAATGTTATTCCAAAATAAATAAGGGCGCCATGACGTTAAATAGACATTAGACAGATAATACGGCAGGCGCAATTGAATTTTCGGTATGTGAACAAATTTAAAACTAAACGAACAATATCATGACTATGACAATGTGTACGGTACACATTTTAATAGGGATCATTCCATAACACCGAACAAATCATACATATACATACCAGCAATAAAACAGAAGAAACCACAACATTGTATCCTCGCAAAACTGGAGGAATTCAACATACATATATTAACGTTTATATTTAATTATTCATTCAGAAAATCTGACTCTGATTTAGTTTTACTTCTGTATGTATGTATAATTGTCTCATCGAAATCACTGACTTTTTTTTGTATTTACATTGGATTTGCATAGTTTCCAAATAACTATAAATGGTTTCGAGAGCACAAAGTGGGATTCATGTTTGTGTATTTTGATAAATAGTATAATTATATCAAAGTTATTGCGCAACCTTATCCCATTTCAGTGTTACTCTCTTTGTATACATATATTTTATAGACTGTTTAAACAATTTCAATCATAAACAAAAAGAAAAACAAAACATTTGAAGAGTCCTAGCGTAGAATTATGACAAGTTAATTCAACATACCGAAATATCATAAATACGGATTTACAATATACAGGCGTACATTTCAAAACTCTCTCTATTTCACCATCTATTAGCACAATATAAGCCAAACATTTTAATTGTGTAAATGTGTTTTAACAAAAAAAAAAGAAGATGGACATACAACAGCAATCAATTTTATGTAATTGTAATTTATAAATAATAAATTCATGAAAAATGTCAAACTAAAGGAATCTTCTTTATTTGCAATCTTCGATGCATTGAAAATCGCAGAAAACTTGCAGTGTGATTCAAAGGTAAACTTTTCACATTTTCCTATTATTATTTGTGTTGATTGATACATGGAAAATAAACGATTTTTTTTTATAGTTTGTGGCACGAAAATCAAGTTTTCGTCACAAAAAAAATGATTCTGTTCATTAAATTCAACTTGATGTCAATCAATCTTTATTTTAAGTAATTATATTCCACTCACCATTTGTTAATGCGTTCAAACACAAACACATGGGTAAACATTTTTTTAATAGAAATTTATACATTTTATTTTATATACAAAACGCACAATACAATTCAGACATTGTATTGAATACATAAAAAAAATTGATAATTTCAAAGAAAAAAAAATGCAAACAATTTCAAAACTCAATTGACACAATTTGTTTTCTAAACTAAACAATACTAAGCTGACATTGGTGTACTGCACTTGTTGGACGATGTTAATAATGTTAATTGACCATTTGCTTCTAATTGATTAATAATCATATGAACTTTGCCCTTTGGTTGAATGCTAAATGCTCGCTTTTGTGTATCCGTTGATGTTGAGACTGCACTTGTTTTATGGCGTTGATTGAGCTTCGGTTGTGTCTTCTCTGCTGTATCTATTGTACATCCAGACGATTTGCGCATAAAATTTGTTGGATTGGTTGATTGTCTTAATTTGGCCAAATGATTGGAGAAGAGCCATTTACGCATCGTACTTAGTTGATATTTATTGGGTGTGCCATCCGTTGTTGTTGAATTTCTTGTCATATCATCATCATCACTTGTCCTACGACCCGAAGATGACAAATATTTCTGTGACTGCTCTTTTAATTGCGTCGATAATTTATTACGGATTTCGTTGTCAATTTTTAAACGATTACATTCATGCATTGCATCAACCGTCGTCGATTTTGATTCATTTTCGCTGCCATTTTGAACGATAATTAGATCGTAATGTTGTTTCGTATCGTCGGTTATTCGAACTGGTTTTTTTGGTGTATCGTAAATCGATGAAATAACATCCATTTGAATTTGTGTCAATGATGTTTGCGATTGTATTGGTACTTTTTTCATTGGCAACATTGGAATTTTGCATGTTGATGTTGGAACATTTTTATAATATTCTTCGGGTTCTTCATAAACACCTTCGCTATAGTTGCAAGTATCAATTTTGTCCTCAATTCTGTTATTCGATTGTGCACGATGCATTGTGGTGTCAACAGTATCAATGTCTGCAGTCAAGCGATCGTTATCGGTATTTTTTGCATTCAACGGTGGCATTGGCAATCTTCGAATCTGTGCTGTGGCAGTGAATGAATTTTCAATGTACGGCAATCCATTACTTAATTGTTTTAGTAAATTTGTCCAGTGTTCACAATGTTCTGGTGTTTCAGCAATGAAACAATACGATTTGGCATCTTTTTTCGTGCTCTTTTCTTTCAGCTCGAATTTGCATGGATTTCGTTTATTTTCATTTGGTTGTTTTTCGTTAGTTTTGACGGTAGTGGTGGTGGTGATCTTTGCATTATCAGCGCATGCTTCAAATTGATTTAATGGCAAACAAATTGTGGGCTTTAGATCACTGGTACCTCCAGCATACATTAATATCCACCATTCATAATAGTCGTAGTCTGGATTGTGTTTCGACACTAAACCCGTGTAATATTTTCGCTTGAAATTGATGCTGAAATGATGGATAAATCGTTTGCGTCGCAAGTGCATCGTGAGCCATCCGACTTTCGGTGAATGCATAATTGTCAAATGTGCAGCCGGTAAACCAATGAATGGACAATCTTGTTTGTCATCAATATCAAGGACTTGAACTGCATGCACCGTGGTACCTTTATCGTTTCGTTCGACTATGTAATTGTCATAGATATTATCATCATCATTACAATCTTTCGATGCTTTACCAGTAACATCAACATATTCGTTACGATTTGAGCATTCATTTTGTTGCGTTAATTCGAAATTTTCATATTTTCGCATGCTCATATCCAAATACGATGTATTTTCTTCCGATTCACCAATGTCAGTTTGCGGTTTTGCATCATTTGCATTTTCAATAAAATCATTAATCAATCGTTGCACGTTCGTACACCGTTCCGACAGATATTCCAAATGGTCATAGTCTTCGTATGTACTTGTGTTGGACTTCAATTCAATGCGATTTTTAAAATATTGATTAGAATCTGTAGTTGAAAACACAAACACACATATCAATACCATTGAAATACAATATGTTACCCATATATAATTCGAAATTATTTCAGAACAAAACCAATCATACCTTTCAATAAATCACGTATTGTTATAAAATCGGCAACGGCTACAACCATGTTGGAGGTCTTCTTTGGTTGCATGTCTTCCATTGGGTGTGTGTGTGATGTAGATTGATAGATAAATAATCAACGGCGTAATTAACTTTAACACTGTTATAGAATTAAAATTGTTCAAAACATTCACACTTTTCCTTTCATTTATTCATTTTCTAATGCATTCGAATAAAAGAAAACTAATAAATATCCAATTGAGAAAAATATCTATCAATAAACAATTCTATACGACACCAAAATACAAAATAAAACAAATATTTATTGCTAAGACATCAATGTTCTGCAGGAAATTTACTTGAAAATGAAAATGTGACGATATAACAGTCAACGCAAAGAGCCGTAATATTTTTAACGCAAAGTGCGGGAGTATTACTCGTATAGTGTGCACGTTTTGGGTGATGTGCTCACATTCCAAGTCGAAATAATCAAATATTGTACAATATGACCAATGCCGATTCAAATTAACATGCGTCGCTATGTGTATGTTGTTTTACACTCAAGAATAATTATTTCTTTCACATGTGTGTGCGAACGCTCATCATCACATTGCAACTCTTGAAGTCCACACTGTTTCATGATTTTATTACCAAACGAAAGAGAATATAAGAGAAAAAGGAATAACAAAACAACCATAAGTAATGTCATCGATCGAAAATTTTAAGAAAATAACACTTATTTGGATTTGTATAATGCATATATTTGCGCGCGCTTTGCCCCCCAAGAGCGAATGATCGCTTCTATTTGTCGTTTAATTTTTCAATTTATTTTTATTTTCGTTCAACGCAGGGTGTAAAATAAGACATTTTCTCGATTCACGAAAATTCAATTTTTTGATTCACGAAAATGGATTTTGATTCATACAAGCAAAAAATGAAAACTTTACTAAGCAAAAATGAACTCATATTTTACATTCATTATCATTTTATGAAATTTATTATTATCGTATATTCAGCTTAATGTGAAACGTAGTTGATTATATTAGGTTATGGAATAGTTGGATATATATATTCTTTTTCAGTAATTTTAGAGAAAACCAGAAAAGATAGAGAGTTCGGGTTTTCGGCATTCGCAAGATAGGGCATATAGCCGTGGTCTATAAAAATTTTGTTACCGAAAACACTGACGCGCTCCCTGATGACATTACATCAAACTAATCTGTCCCAAATGTGTTGTGTTGCATCTAACAGATGGCGCTCGCATTCACAATAACAAAAATCCATTAAAAAAGTCTTAAAAGTACAGAAAAATAATTTGAAAAATAAATAAATTTTAAAACGATTTTTAGTGGAAATTGAATGTCCGAAAATAAAAGTAAGTCTTCTCCTCAGAAAACAAAAATATACTGCCAGCTTTTGGCCGTAGGGCTTAATGTGAAACGTCCCAATGGCGAAAATGTAACGATATTTCTATAGATGAGTGTGTATATTTTTGTAACGGCAATTTATATGGGAAAGTGTGTACGTAATATTTCCGATTATATGTACTTAGTATAGATTATATGTGCGACGCACACAGCTCTGGCTCTGTGCAGTTGCGTTAAATATCCAGATATTCTAAAATATCTCGGATGGATATCCATCCGAAATACATAGACTGGTTTTTTGAAATTAATAATTTTATGACCAAAGTATTGGAATCGGTCGAAAAATTAACACCCTCAAAAAACATGTTTTCTGGGTATTTTAGGAGCCGGGGAACACGAATCTAGCGTTTTTTCGATGTCCGAATGTATGTGCGTGGTACCCTGTACCCTGTACTCTGTACGCTGTACGCAAAAATTTGTTAACACGATAACTTTCAAACCAGAAAAGTAATTCAAAATCTGACTTCATAGGATGATTGAGGATGCCGAGGAATAGACACCATTAGATTTTGAGCGACTTTGGTTGATAAAGTGAAGTGTCATGTCTGGTGTGATGCCCATGGGCATCCATGGGAAAAATTCAATTTTTCTTCCAAAAGTGATATTTAATGTATTCTTAAACACTCAAAAATATGTATTGGGGAGTTTTTGGGTACGAGAAAACCGAATATGACGTTAGTTTTGCGATACAAATAACTTTCGACACAATTTTCATACAAAAATGTCAAAAAAATTGAATTTTTGTATGGAAGCTATGCCTGTATGATATCGTAATAAGCTAAAACTTTGCACAGGTTATTTTTATCGCACAAAAAATACCATTCCGAGAGTTTGAAGACATTTCAACGCATAATACGGGTACCTCCCGAACAATATTTTGGATTTTTCGCTCAAAAACGAAATTTTGTATGGGAAGTACCCTTAATATGCATTGAAATTTCTTCAAACTTTCAGAATGTTAACTTTTTGTGAAAACAATAACCTCTGCAAATTTTCACATGATTACGATATCTTGGCTGCGATACAAAAATTCCCATTTTCAGTAGTTTTTGTTTGAAAAGTGCTTCAAAAATTATTCGTATCGTAAAACTAATGTAAGATTCAGTTTTCTCATGAATTCAAAAGCATGTTGTGGATCACAGTGCGGAAAAGTTCATCTTACGGATGTAAGACATTTTATTTATTCCTAAATTGTCTAATAAATCAGTAAAATAATGAAACATACAATTTTTTACATAGGATGTTTTTTGTCGAGTCGAATTTTGGCGTTTGTGAAAAGGGTGAATAATGGAAATAGTTTTTGATTTTTTGTTTATCGCTTATAAAATATTATATTTAATCGAATTCATTTATGAAATTTATCTTATCTAAATCGACATAATGTAAACATTAATTTAATCGGAAAAATTGTCGATGTGATTTCCCATGTGGGATTTGACCTCTGGCACGTAATCGTCGAACCGATTCACGTAAGTACTTAGGTTGTAGTGCACCAGTTTCCCCAGTTTGTTCCATTATGTCCAATGCCTCCTCGACAATTTCGCCGGCAAACACTTTTGCTATACCAGACATTGCGATTACGACATTTTGCGATACTGAACAACCAGTTATAGTTTGCATCAAACGTTTGACCGTTGCCTTTGGGAAACAGCTACGTCTGTACATTTCATATCGTTCCAGTTGTTCTTCGGTAAAATTCGAAACTAATACTCTGAAAGTATTTAATAAAACACAATTGATAGTCATAAATAAAATAACACACTTTATACAAAATAATATACACTTACTGCATTTTCTCGCGTTCTTCTTCTTCTAGCTCTTTGCGGCTCTTCATCTCTTTTCGCTTGATACGATCGCGTTGTTTTTGCTCTTGTTCGGGATCATGTCGGACACTTGGCAGAATAATATCTTCGTCAAATGAAATATTAAGATCTTTACGCTCGCTTTGAATTTCTAAAGCATCGGTGTTTTTCGCATTTTCTCCACTTTTATCGTCGGCAGTTGATGGTTTTGGATTGGTCTGTTCAGCATTATCATTTGTCAATTCTTTATCGAGCATTTCCGAATCTGTATCTTTTTCTGGAGATGTCGTTAATTCCATGTTCAAAATTGTGTCCACTTTTTCCTCTTTCTTGACTGGCGACACACTATGTTCATCACTCAATTCGCAATGCTCCAAAATATTTTCCATGGCGTCAATTCAAGGTTAAAAATAGTTGAAAATATTAAAAACAAAATGATTGGTTGTTATTCGTATAATTTTGTAGTCGTAAGTGAATAGAATTTTTGATTTAATTTTACGAAATATCGGAAATGTAAATATCCGAATGGAAGCCTTGATATAGTGAATTAATATTAAAAAATGTTGTCAATTTTGACATTTTTCGTTTTTTTCTCAAATGCATTTATTTATGACAGATGATAGTCATGACAGTGCTGCCAATTGTATATCAAGTATGTAAATACAATGACAGTTAAATGCAATGTGCATTGAATGTTAAACAACAAATACATTACGATAACATATTTGTCGTAAATTTCTATTACCAAGAATTCGATAAATTTCAATTTATATTGAAATTTCAAATACTAGAGTCGAATTTCACGTAAAATTCAAATAATGTAAGTATATCAAATCGGGCATATAATAATTGTATTCATAAAAATTTTGACAGGTTTTTCACACATTAAAGAAAGAGATTTTTTTGAAAAAAATTCCTTTTTTTTTTCGAATGTATGTGAATGAAATAAATAACAGACATTTCATTTTAAATATCGTTTGTCCAAAGTCCATATGACTTTTGAGAAAACGGTTTGTAATTTCACTGATTGTCACCCATGTGTGATAATTTGAATTTTTTTAAATTTTTATTTAAAGGTGGCAAAATTAAAACGAAAATTTGAAAAGATGACATCAAGGCCGTTTGGAGATTTGATCGGTTCTATTGACGAAGGAACATCCTCAGCACGCTTCCTTTTATTTAAAGCTGGAACAGCAGATATCGTTTGTTATCATCAAAAAGAATTAAGCAGTGTTACACCAAACGAAGGATGGGTCGAACAGGATCCAATGGAAATTTTGAACATCGTGCTCGAATGCATTGAAAAAACGATTGAAAAGTTGATCTCGCTTGGCGGCAGTGCAAGTGTAAGTTGTTGGAATTCATTAAAAAAAATATTCAAATTCAAATGAACAAAAAACATATTATCTCAATACGATAATTTGTCACTTTCAACCAATTTTTTAAATAAAAATATGTCTAGAAAATTATGAGAAGTGCAGTTGATAAGAAAATCAATGTTGTAATAAAAGTAGATCATGAACTTTGTTTAACTATATTGATTTATTTCTTATCAATTAGTCATGATGAAATGGCGCTACGACATTTATTTTATGTTCAATAGCTTGATTTTTGATGTTACATTTTGATAAATCTCTATTTAGTTATCAGCATATAATATGAAGTTTTTTCAATCATTTAGGATATTGTAGCCGTGGGCGTGACCAATCAAAGAGAATCAACAATTATTTGGAATCGTCACACGGGTAAACCAATGCACAATTCCATTGTTTGGTTAGATGCTCGTACATCAAGTACCGTCGATCAATTGACTGCAAAATCAAGTAAAAAAGAAACCGACTACTTACAAAAACTATGCGGATTACCGCTGTCAACTTATTTTTCTGGTGTAAAATTGCGATGGTTAAAGGACAATGTGCCGCTCATAGATGACGCCATGAATAAAGGTGATTGTTTATTTGGCACCGTCGATTCATGGCTATTGTATAATTTAACGGGTGGCGTTCATGTAACTGATGTTACAAATGCATCTCGCACAATGCTCATGAATATTGCAACGTGCAAATGGGATCCAGAACTGTTAGAGTTCTTTGATCTGCCAGCCTCAATGTTGCCCGACATTCGGTCCAGTTCCGAAGTGTATGGGACATTTTCTGATGGTCCATTGAAAGTACGTTTTATATAGTCAACAGACACTAACGATTTTGTACAATCATTTTTTCAACGTTATTACTTTATTCGTTTTAGGGTATTCCACTATGTGGATGTCTTGGTGACCAACAAGCTGCTCTGGTTGGACAACAATGCTTGGAAAAGGGACAAACCAAATCAACTTATGGAACTGGCTGCTTTTTATTATACAATACAGGAAATGAATATGTTCTATCGAAACATGGCCTTTTAACCACAGTTGCCTATCAATTTGGGCCAAATGCCAAGCCAACATATGCATTAGAAGGATCAGTTGCTATTGCTGGTGCAGCCATAACGTAAGTTATGCATTCATCGAAAAAATAAAATTGAAAAAATGTACACATTTCTATTGAAAGGTGGCTACGAGATAACTTGGACGTTATTCAAGATGTGAAAGAATTAACTGAACTACTCGAAACGGTTGAAGACAGCGGCGATGTGTACTTCGTGCCAGCATTTTCCGGTCTTTATGCTCCGTACTGGAAAAAAGAAGCTCGAGGGTAATAAATATTAAATTCAATATTCGTTTCATCATTTTTCATGTTATTTGCATTTATAGTGTAATCTATGGCTTAACTGAGAATACTCAACGCGGTCATATTGTAAGGGCAACACTCGAAGCTGTTTGCTTTCAAGTACGTGACATTCTCGGTGCAATGACAAAAGATTGCAATTTCCATTTGGTCCGATTACAAGTGGACGGTGGCATGACGGCAAATAAGCTTCTGCTTCAGTTGCAAGCCGACTTGGTGGGACTCGAAGTCATTCGACCGCAAATGGCAGAATCGACAGCACTGGTAATGAATTAATAGTGGAGGCATTTTTTTTCGATTTTTAAAATAAAAGCGAAATGTTATTCAATATTTTAGGGAGCAGCGATAGCAGCTGGAAGAGCCATCAACAAATGGGATATCACGAAAAAAATACCCATTGAAGAGACGACTATAAAACCAAAAATTACCGAAGAAGAACGTAACCATCGATACGAGCAATGGAAGAAAGCTATTGAACGATCACTCGATTGGGACGTCTAATGCATTTTTTTTTTGTTTCAATTTTTTTACCTCATAAATTTTGGTATGGGTGTTGTATACAATATAGTGAATAAAATTTACAATCGATTCTACGTTTCGTTTGAAAATCGTTGTATAGCACGTAGCAAATTGAGTGTTCAGTATTCTCAATGGGAATTTGACACATATATTTTATTTATGTTTGTGCGGTTGGTAGCAGTGTGACATGGTAACTGTTGTGATTACTGTAATGTAGCCATCTCACTTTGACATTTACGACGAAGTCTATAGGTCTTTTCACAAAATCTCGCCACTTGTCGTGTATACATAAATGTTTCCATCATCAGTATCTGTTTTTCAGAAACACAAAAGAGCGAGATTTGTATGTGTAGGCAGTCGGCCATATTTTCATCGTTTTTATTTTGATAGTATAATACGAGCGCTGATCACATCACATTCAACACAGAAAAATAAAGAAGTATAACTTCAAAAGTGTAACGCAACTAATCAAGAGAAGAAGAAATTGCATTCCAAAGTATTGTTGTGTGTATGGAAGAGAGAGCCAGAAAAAAATTACAGAGCAACAACGAAAACAACAAAAGAAGTATAGTAGTTTTATTCTATTTTTTTTTTCAAGACCTCAGTAGCACACGCTGGTTAGTTTTCAAACACAGTATTAATTTACTATTATTATTTTAAATAATCGTGTAAATTGGTGAAGAAAAAAAATGTTTGATGCATAATAAATGTGAAATCCCAAAAGGAAACGTATGAATGAAATTAAATCTAATAAATAAAGTGAAGTTTTGCATTCATTTCGATTCGATCCTTTGTTGAACTCTGTGCATTTTCGATTGTTGTTTTTTTTGCTGGTGCTGCTGCTAACGTTGTTTCTTTAGTTTCTTTCTCTTTAATTGTTGTGGTGTATTTCATCACTTGGAATTTTTTGTGGTGTGTGATTTTGTCTTATTTTCATCTATAGTAAGTGAGATTTTTTTGTTGTTGATTGCACTTTTACCTTTTGAATATTTTGATTGTTTAAAATTTTTTTTTTGGAATTGAAATTGTTCAGTCATTGTGCAAACAAAACGTCTATGTGTACACATGATTTTATGGATTCGTGCATAATAATAATTAAATGAACCATCTCACTGTGTGCGTGTGAAAAATACAGTAGAACAAAACAAAAAAAGATAAAAAAGAATCGACTCAAGAAAGACACACAATCCAAATAATTGCAAAACAAATTCTGATTTGAAAATTGTAGAATTTTGGAATTTTGTTTTTTTTTTTTATTTACTTGGGGAATTAAGGTGAACATTATGTGGTATATATAAACATTTTCAATGAAAGAATTTGTAAGAAAGATAGATTTTCCATAGGAAGAGAGAAATCAATCCGAATTGTAATTCAATATCGTTTGCTGTTTAAGTTATTTATTTAGAGATTGCTTGCTGTGTATTCGTCATTTTCTCATAAAGTTCATTTGACATTTAGTGTAAGTGTGTGAATGTTTTAATCTTACAGTTAATCGTCTTGGGCTGTTGTGGAATTAATTATTTTTGATTTGCTACCGAGAAACGCCAAACACGAAATAAAAACAAGCGAACAAAAATAACAGCAGTTGGTTTCTTTTTTACATTGTAATATGTAAGAGCAAATTCAGCTGCTGTCATATAATAATGACATACAGTTTGAGGAACATAATGTGACTACGTCATTGTTCGATATATCGAGTAGAATGTCATGGCAAAATGGAATCGTATCGAATTGTTTAGTGCTGTGCTTAGTTCATCTGAATAATAATTATGTGATATTTGTTCAATTCGAAAAGAAACGCGTAAATGACAAAAATATGCAATCAATAAAGATAAAATAAAAATCGAAATAAATTAAAGTTAGTTTTTTTATTCGCTGAACGAAATAGTTCAAAGAAAAGAAAATCCATTTAATATTTCATTTCAGTGCAATAAATAAAATGTTCAGTGGCAAATAGTAACTCTATATATATGAAATTCAAATCAAATATGAATAATGGATATGCTCAAACACTGAAAATTATACACAGCATTACATTCATTAGTTTTCGCTACTCTATTTTTGTTTTCTGTATGCTCTCCATGTTACACCACTCCTAATATACAGAGTATTTTTCATGTTTTTTTTTTTTCGCAAGAAGGCTAAACAAACAACAGTAAATGTGTACAAGTACACTTAGCAATAGGCCATGTGTTAAATAATATAACTGCATCAAACCAGCACATTTCACTATGTATTATTATTATAGTTCAAAGTGATTCGAAATCTCACATATATATTAGTCTTGTTAGTCTTGTTAGTTTATGACAATGTATTTTAATGTTTGTGATTTTTTTTTTATTTGTTGTTGTTGTCTTTTAGATAAAACTCTAGAGTAAACGAGAGAGAGAGAGGAAAAAAGCAAAATTGATACACTGATGATGGCGACCGCCGAGAGTTCAATTCGCTTTAGCGATCATACAATGGATAAAGCGACCAAGGCGAAAGTCACATTAGAAAACTACTACACAAATTTATTGACACAACATTCAGAGCGAAAGCAAAGGTTGGCCAAATTGGAGGCATCATTAAAAGATGAAACATTGTCAGAGTCTCAAAGGCAAGAGAAACGTCTTTTACATGCCCAAAAAGAAACGGAATTTTTGCGCTTGAAACGATCACGGCTTGGCGTTGAAGATTTCGAAGCGCTCAAGGTTATTGGACGCGGTGCTTTTGGTGAAGTGCGTTTAGTACAGAAAAAAGATACCGGCCATGTATATGCAATGAAAGTACTACGCAAAGCCGATATGTTGGAAAAGGAACAGGTGGCGCATGTACGAGCCGAACGTGATGTATTAGTTGAAGCCGACCATCAATGGGTCGTTAAGATGTATTATAGCTTTCAAGATCCGGTGAATTTATATTTGATTATGGAATTTTTGCCTGGCGGTGATATGATGACATTGCTGATGAAAAAGGACACACTATCCGAAGAGTTCACTCAATTTTATATCGCCGAAACGGCATTAGCTATCGATTCAATTCATAAATTAGGATTTATTCACAGAGACATTAAGCCAGATAATTTATTATTAGATGCTCGAGGTCATTTAAAGGTAAACACACATTTTAATTTTAATTTTGATGGCAATCAACATACCGCAATTTCATCTGTTCGCATCATATCATTTTAGCTATCCGATTTTGGATTATGTACAGGATTAAAAAAATCTCACAGAACAGATTTTTATCGGGACTTATCACAAGCTAAACCATCCGATTTTATTGGAACATGTGCAAGGTATGTGTGTCAGTTGTCACATTCATGGGAATTTATTGATTTTTTATGTGTCATTCAATTGGAAGCATTAATTTACGATTGAAGATATTTGATTCATTTTATAGTCCAATGGATTCAAAACGTCGTGCAGAGAGTTGGAAAAGAAACAGACGTGCATTGGCATACAGCACAGTCGGAACACCGGATTATATTGCACCAGAAGTAAGGATTTTTCAAATCAGTGAATTTGTTTCGCATTTATATGATTGTTATCAACAAACCTCGGTTTTTTTTCGTGTGTATTTTCATAAAGGTTTTTCTGCAAACTGGATATGGACCAGCATGCGATTGGTGGTCATTGGGTGTAATTATGTACGAAATGCTGATGGGATATCCACCATTCTGTTCGGATAATCCACAAGATACTTATAGAAAAGTAATGAATTGGCGTGAAACGTTAATCTTTCCGCCAGAAACGCCAATTTCAGAAGAGGCAAAAGAGACAATTGTCAAATTTTGCTGTGAATCGGAGCGACGTATGGGCTCAAATCGTGGTATTGAAGAACTTAAATCGATACCATTCTTCCGGGGCGTTGATTGGGAACATATTCGTGAACGACCCGCTGCAATTCCAGTTGAAGTACGCTCAATTGATGATACATCCAATTTTGATGAATTCCCCGATGTATCACTTGAAATCCGTAAGTGTGCCAAGCATAGTCATGTGACTTACCTTCAAATTGTAATAAAACCAATTTCCTTTTTGTACGTCATGTTTTCGATTTAGCATCGGCACCAATACCACAAGAGGGTGAGGTTCTCAAGGACTGGGTGTTTATAAACTACACATTCAAGCGTTTTGAAGGTCTCACACAACGAGGCACTCCAACGAAGAAATAAACTTGAATACTGTCACGTCTGAAAGAGTTATGTAATTTTTGTACAAAAGAAAATCTAAAAAAAAAATGTTCAATTAGAAATGAAAGTAAAATTGAAGAAGTAAGATTAAAAAAAAACTAGATGACTATTGAAATTGATAAAAATTGATTCTATTTGTTTTCCGTTTTGAGCAATTTTCCTTCGTTTTTTTGAGAACTTTATAATGTTTTTTTAAGCTCAATATATTTCTTAACTTATTTTATTCTAAAAGAAAAAAAATGATACAATTTTGTTGGATTCATCCAAACTGAACAAAAGATATAGAATGAACAAAACGAAATAAAAATGCTGTAGAACAACCGATTTGGCTCATCATGACATAAAATTAGAATTGAAACCTTGGGATGAATCCACAAAAAAAAATTCGAAAATTATAGATACCGAATGCACCGTATAAATAGATTCATATAGTTCTGAAATTATCGAGAGCCGTTCGTTGATTTTTGTGAATATGTCTGTTATTGAATTGTGAATATATTTCGTTATAACTATTGTTTTGGTTAAAAAGAAAACTGGTTCCATGAAAAGAACTGGTTTTTGTGAAATTCAACTGTAGCCGTACATTGCCGATTTGAATTTTTTTTTATTTTTCGTTTATTGATTTTGTAAGATGTCAGATGATTTTAATTTCTTTATGATTTGTTTACACGGTGCAAAAAGGTGCAAATGTTTATTGTTTCTTTGAAAAAAAGAAACGCGTGCTTGGTACTCACCTATTTGATTTATTTACTTCACTCATTATCCCATGAAGAAGAGAAAAGTACACACACACACAAAATGTATCCAAGCCGAAAATCTACACACTGTACTTATAACGAATGTCAGCTAAAAAAAGCTAGGTATTAACCATAAATGTAAATTAAGTTCGTTGTAAATGTTAAATTACATTGCGACATAAAACTGTGCATTCTCACGTGAAAAATTTACAAAAAATGTCAACTGAATGAGTAATAATAAAATTTGAAAATATGAAAAATTTAATGTTTTCAGACGTTTTTTTTATTAATGTTCAGTCATTTTCTTGAATTTTGCAGCCAAGTACACCTTATCGGTAAAGTGGATTTTTTTTTGGTGGCATTAGTCTTTTATTAGAGTTATTTTCTTACTTCTTCATTTTCATCAATTATTCAGTGTCTCTTGTAAGTGCAAGTTGTACGCTTCACTCTGTAGTTCGTCTGGCAGACAGATTAATTTATTATCCAGCACACAGTTTAATTACCTTGTCGTTATATTGATTTAGGCACTTTGTTCTACAGATAAGGATTTGAAATACAAACTGCCTTTGACGCTGATAAGTAATAATAAAGTTAATTGTTGAAAAAAAAGTAATTTCAATAAACATTTAATTTTTATTGTATACATAAATTTGATCTAAAATTAACAATTACAATATTTACGCTAAAATGCTTCTCAAGTAATTTCCACGATTGATAAATATGATTTTTCTTCTTCTTTTTTTGTTAAATAACAACACTTTAATAAATTTATAAGAATCGAAAAACAAATTTCAACGAAAATAAATTTCTTTTTTTTTTTCTTTTAATTCAATTCATTCTTTTTAATTGGCAAAATTGACTACTTATAAGCGAAATATTTGTTCTGATTTGTAATTTATTTCATGTTTCCATTGACATTTCAAACATTTTATAGTTGTGGTTTTACATCAATATTTATGAATATATGTTTATATGTAGCGGAAATTAAAAGTTGTATTTGGTGATATCGTTATTATACGATGATAATGATTTGTGTTTAAGTATATTCACTGTATCGAGGGCTCCCTCTGATCTTTTGTGCAACGCTTTGTTCAATTTTCTAGAAAAAAATAAAGAAACAAACACAAATCTATTAATAATTATTTAAAAAATGAAATCTGTTTTTAAAAATTTTATTTAAACATATACACCCTGTAATTATATTGTTTTATTAAAATCATTTGTTAGATTATGTCATTTAGTTGTTTTTTTTAATGAGTCCATATTTAGATAATTAAACAAGAGTGCGATTCAACATACCATCACCCAGAGATAAATAGAACGAATAGATAAGCAGTTCGGTTAGTATTTAAGTAAATGCATATTGTTAGATATTGAGACGAGCAGAGAGCTAAGAGACGATGTGTGTGCAAGAACTTACCCGAATAACATCTCGATTGCACTTGTGTCGAGCCACCAGTTCTTCGTCGCTCAAATAAGCCAAGCATTCCGATTTAAAAATGCGATTTTGAAAATCAGAATGTGGCATTAATTTTGAGCGTTTCTTAAATAAAATATAAGGTTTATTTAATGAATCATCAGTTGATTGCCTCTCATTGGCAATCATTTTGATTCGACTTGTTTCATTTCCGATCAGATCTTTTGTGAGATTTGACTGGATTTGGTCGTCATAGATTGTTGAAGATGGCGTTGGTGTGGTGCATGGACTATTTTGTTCGATGTAAATTCGCACCACATTCGATTGATCACCGCTATACTCATGAATGTTATTGCTAATGCCACTACTTGCGTGCGATAAACGCACATTCGATGAAAATGAATTCGGTGAACTGTAGCCAGACGTACTTTGTGAACTTGGTTCAATGACATGTTGCATGTCTTGCTTACCATTTTGTGGTGTTTGAGCCTCGGGCGTTTGTTGTTTGTACGGTGGTTGTTCGGGTGATGGTAGTGATGATATAGCTGCGCTCAATGTTTTCTCACTCTCTGATCGTGCCACTTTTGCAACGGTAGCCGATAAATGTGTGCCACCATCATTACCATCCACTCCTTCCGATGGTGTTTCCAGGTCTTGGATTAATTGCAAAGCTGCCGATAGCTCTCTTGAGAAACCATCCTTTGACGATGATTTCGATGAGCCAAATTTGTCGGTGGAAGCAGTAAGGCTTGTATCATCCGGTGACATATTGTTCATATTATTATTATTATTATTATTTGTCGCTTGAATTTTTTTCTCGATCAACGATTGTTCGAGTTCGACCAACATCGACGCATATTGACTATCATCTTGTTGACTGGATATGCTTGATGGTCCATTACTGTTTTGTTGGATTTGTGTTTTGGTGGTATATTTTGGTGTTGCAACGCTTGAACTTGTCGCAACTAAGGTGGGTGTGACAACCGTTGCGCCAATCAATAAGTCCTCTGTCTGAATGTAATCCACTCTCAAATGGTTCACCGTCTTATGCGGACGTGCATTATGATTCGGGTTTAAATAGTCCGCATAAATGGCATTGGTTGGTGTTGCTTGTCCGCTATTTGGAATTGGTGATGGTGTGGCGCATCGCGAAAAACTACTCATTTGTGTATTGAAACGTTCGCTAGTTGCATCCGATAATTTGCTCGAATGACCATTTTTCTTATTTTCATTTTTACTAGTCGAAGCACCTGCTCGCGTTGGGGAGTTTGATGAGCAAATTGAAGGTGAATCACCTGGTTGATATGCCTCTTCGCCAGTTCCTTCGAAAACCCATGATTTTGCATACACCTGAACAGTTGTATCCATCGATGGTTTCCTACTGCCATTCGTCTCAACTTTCTGCAATGAAGCACATCAACAACATTCATTGCACTTTTTAATAAGTCAATTCAAATAAATAATAAAAACTTAATATGTTAAGCTTTATGCATACACTATGCACTGTACATACTTTGGGAATAACATATTCCAAATCAGCATTTTGATCGGTATCGATATACTGCTGTGGTCGGCGAGACTTTCGTGAATTCTTTTCCTTCTTATACTTCATTTGGCTTCGGCTTAAGTAGCAAAAGTTAATTTGCACTTCAAGAAATGTTACTAATATCAATAATATTGCTGTATAGGTTGTAATGAATCGACCTGTTGACAATCCAATCAATCTTTCATATAAAATGCATTTAATTATGGAATATTTTCAAATACAAACCATTTTCCGATTCGAGCAAATGGTATTCTTTGCTAAGCGCCTTCTGTAAATGTTCATTAAAAATTTCACGAACTTGTCCGATTTCCAATAAAATCAAATTAACGATGTTTAAAATCAAAATGGACAGCGAGCAATACAGTAGGAATTCATGTTTTCTAGGCGTTGATGGGCATACACATGCTACCATGCTACCAGATATTCCACACAAAATAGCCTGCAAATAACCGAAAAATAAAAACAAAAATTATCTCATTTGTCCCAATTAATCGATGGTAACATTAGAAACGTACCCAACAGCCAATTGCGACATTGAAAATGAGTTTGATGACTGGAATGGTGAGGAAGTAAAAAATGCCCGAAACGATTTGAATGACGCCTAAAGCTACGAAAATCGTACAAAATGGTACATAAAAGCAGATATCGTGAGTATTATTGTGGCATTTATTGCATGTACAAATTTTAGCGTTGGTCTTTTGTTCGTATTGATTCGAATTCGACAATTTAAGGGTGTGATGGATTTCCTGGTACATTTTGCGATGACGTTTTATTTTTTTAAATGCAGATCCTATCAATGTTCGGCTGAAAACAGCTAATTTCGTCAGTCTTTTATTTCGATATTAGTTTTTGTAGTTAACTCAAAGCTGAGACGCTCTTACACGCCACTGCTTATTGTTAAATGTGCTACTCAAGATCTGAAAGTTCAAAGAAATTGTATTGAATTTAAATTTTGCAGTGAAATTATACTACTTTTAGTTTTTTTTTTGCTGCTGTTTTCCTTTTATAGAGAATCATTATTGGCTTGTATATGCTTTTAATCTGTCTCTCGCTCATTTATTGCTGAGCTTCGAATTTAGTCTGAATTGTCTAATTGCTATGGTGTATTCATCATACATTTTTTTCATTTTCTTTTTCTTTTCTAAATTTAAAATTTCATTAACTGAATTCACATCAATACGAACGCAGTCATTAAACATATGCATATATTACTCGCTTAATAAAAATACGGAATGAAATTAAGCCAAGAAATATATGAAAAGGGAAAGAAGAAGAAGATGAACACAAGCATTCGTTTCTATTTACATAATTGTTTATGCATGTATGTATATTGTATGGTGAAAGAACGATGGGAATGCGGCGAACAGTGCAAGCGAATTCAAAGAAAAGTGGTATCATAGCAAGTTGCGAATACTTGGAGAAATTTATTGTGACCAAAAATTCCAAAACAATAGATTTTGATTAAATTGTGAAGAAAAAGCAGCCTAATCCCATCGGCAAACGAACAAAAAAAAAACGATCGTGTTGAAGACGAACGTATATGCTACATTATAGTCGATGGATTGCTGTGGTTTCGTACAATTACACAAGACGAAGAGAGCAACAACAAAAAAAAATTAAAAAGAAAAACACTCAATTGCTACAAATACTGTCGACAGCAGATTAATGTTTATCAACAGTTCCATGCAAAATGAGAAATTATGACCATCAGTCATCGTCATTCTGAATAAATAATATGAATATATTATTTTTTTTCTTTAATTTGGCCGTAGGGTTTGGCTTAATTCAGGTCACATTCAATATTCCGTCACATAGCTAAACTCTCACTTGCGGTTCACATTTTTAACTTTTGACTCACTTTAAAAAGGCCGCCGCAAGTTGATAAAAAATTTATGATAAAATCATCATATTCGTATAAATATTTCGATATGAACAGTGAAATGTCACCATACTGTCATTTACACCTAATTCGAATTAACTAAACCTGCTAGCTTTCGGATGGATTAAATGCACATTAATCGTAGATCGACCATTGTGACACTTATGGAACGTTTTTGTTCTGCATACATTTGAACATGCTGATTTGCAAACCTGACTCGTTTATTCAAATTGAAATGGAATCATCAGCACAAACTGTTGATTTAATTGCCACGAAAGAACTATTCATGACAGATGCAATACGTTTCGACTTTTTTTCTCATAGTTTCCACTTCTTTCTTAATCAAAATATCGTAATGATCGATTTGATAGTGGTTTTCTCTCTTTTTCATCATGGTTTGCTTTAATTTTTCATGAGTTCTGTCGTTGTTCCACACCGTTTGTGTTTCTAGTATTTCTCATTCGCACCAATCAAAGTTCGTGTGTGTGTGTTGTGCGTATTAAATTTCGCGTTCACATTAGAATTCATAACTTGAATGCAACGCGGAGAAATCACAATTGAAAGAATACTCATTCAATCAGCAAGTGCTTGCGTTTTTTTCTCTTTCTCTGGCTCACAAATTGGATTCACATCACTATGACTATCACAAATTTTATCCAGTTTTGTATGCATTGTAGATTCACATCTCATTATGATGGCATGCAACAATTCTCTTTCTTGTTTCATTTTGTATGAAGAAGAAGAAAAAAATGGTTGGTTTCATGTAAATGTTGAAACCATATATAATGTAGTACGATGATAGAGTATGACTATCAAAAAGGTGTGTTGCATACATGAAAATTAGTCTGTGTCTGGAATCACACTTCACGAGTGCTCATAATTCAACTGAAAATAAAATAAAATGCAACTATCACGTTTCAACGCTATCGGCGATTGTTCTTTTCTTTTCGTTTCAGCTTTAAGAGAAATTATGATCACATCCCAGCATCTACAGACATACAATTGGATTTTAAAATGTAAATCAACATACATGAACAAAAAAAAAGAAAAAATTATTAAACATCATATCAGATTACAATTTCAATCAGAACCGTTCTGAATCATTTCAGATAACAAAATTTGCAGAACTGCCCCTTTGTATTCAGTTCATAGATCAATCTGAACAAAAACAATAAGCCAAAATGTGCGTTGTGTCACGTTTTTTTTGTTTTTGATAAAAAAAGTTTTGTTTTTCGTTCAAATTCTAGAAAATTTCGCTATCTTTTGCGCACTGAGTATACTTTACATAACATTTATTGCATTCAAGTGTGAAATAATGAAATCATTTTATGGCATGAGCTTACTTGAATAAACCGTACCGATTGAATTTTCCATACAGAAAATGATTTACGTGTTTTTCAAACGAAGCATACCAACATAAATATGGTTTCAACATTGTAAAATTACACATGAAATATGTTTACGAGCAATGTTGTTTCAGAATGCGTTCTCTCTTGTTTGATTCATCAAAATCGGGAGCACCAAGTAGGCATCTATAACCTCTGGTTAAATTGAAAGGTTAATTAATAGCTATTAACACATTATGAGCATTTATGAGAGTGTCATTTCTGTATGTATTTAGAAAGAATATTTTAATTCTCTATGGAATCCCGTTTGTTGTCCGAAGTTTTCACTCTGTTTTTACTCTGCACCCATCGTCAACAACAACAAACCATACCAATGGAAGAATGTGTGTACGAAACACACAACAAATTTTATTTTGTATTTTACATTCATTGTATGCAATTATTATTCACATAGCGTATGACTAAGATGTCATCAGACATTCTGCTCTTGAAATTCGTTGAAACTTATCGTTTGACTTCATTGGAAGTGCGTGTTAAGTGCAGTTTATCTTTCTCTTTTTTTTTCACTTAATATAATAAAATCTATTGCGTTTAAAGAGGCATTTTTTTTAAATTAATGCGTTATTTGTACACATAGTTGATGTAAGATTGTTTGCGAACCAACGGTTCGATTCAATAGCCAATACATATGCGGAAAAAAATGTCATTATGTGACCCAAATCTGTAGATAAATACCCGAAGTACGTGAAAACATGTTATTTTTTCTCTAAATTTTTCTTGAGGAGAGAAAAATAAATTGTACACACAATGGAACTGCCAATTGACGGTAAAATAAAAGTTTTGTATTGAGAGTATGGAATGGTTTTGGGGCGTGGAACGTTGAATTCATTTGGTTTGCAAATCGAATGTGAACAATTGTGGACGAATTACAAAAAAAGAACAGAAGAGAAAATGAAATCAATAGGAATTGAAGCCAATAAATTGTTGCGGAAATCGCACAGCGAAAGCAAATGTGAATTGCCCATTCGACTTAATTTGAAATTTTTCTCATCGTTTCAAGATCACTTGTTGATTGTGGTCAGACAATTTATGGATCGTACTTGATGTGAACAGTGTACACATCGGGGATATAATTGATGAATTTGCCTCTATCTATTGTGCGATTTGTTTGTTCGTCTGAGAGGATGACACTTTTAAATTCACTTTTCATTAAAATGAATGCTCTTGGTGAAAGACATAAAGTCGTCGCAATGGAAAGTATCGTATCCGTATCATGTGAAAATGCTGTTGAACCATTTTTTTTTGTTCGTTCGCATTTTGAATACGCAACGAGATAATTTCAGTTATAAAGTGAATGGGATGTTGAAGGAGGAAGACTGAGTGAATGAATTAGCGTTAGAAAGAAAAGTGCACGCCGACTAATTTACGTGTTTGCTTTTCCGCTAACCTTCCGACATCTTTTCATAGGCGGCGGCAGCAGGTGCATGTATGCTCACCGAAACAACCATTTCAGCACCAATGTGATTGTGGCGACGCATTTCAAGCTTTGCACCATGCAATTTGCTGAACTGAACAAGAAGAAAAAAAAATCGGTAGAAAAAGCCCGTTTCTATTTCGCAAAGCAAAAAAAAAAATTACAAAAAATTAATATGTTTACATCGAGCAAACAGGGCATTGTGCAGACAATATTTTTATTTTTTAACTTCATCATCAAGATATCCATCAACAAAAGAAACACACAAGTTTTCCACACAAATTTCCAACGAGTTCGAGTAGTCGAGCGCTAACATGAACATAATTAAAATAGATGTATCGTCTGCAAGTATAAGTGCACATAAGTGTATTTGCAGCAAAATACTCTGCCATTGCCGTTGCTACGTCTCTCATTTGATTTGCGTCGACAGCAGGAAAAACTAATTTTATTTGCATATAATAAATAATTACACCTTTTTTACTTTATGCGAGAGATATCAAAACCGTTTTAGTTTTGTAGTTTAACGAAATTATAATTTGATATGGTGAATAAGTTACCTTTTGTAGTTACTCCTGCACTGCTCAAAGTTCATTTCGACACGTACGCACATGAGCATACACACACACACACGGGATTTTATATTTTTAACAAAATAAGCACAAGTGTTTTGTCGAAATGAGAGATATACAAACGGTTATAAATGATTTACGGTGAGTACAATACGATGTATGGGAAAATTTAATCGTGTACGTATTGTGCCCGCACATAAAAATTGACAGTTATGCACTTTTCGTGCAGCACCTCTCTCCACCAACACCACCAACAACAACAACAACAACAAGTGCAACTACTTTTTTTAATGTGCTATCGCATCGTTATAATTGTTCACAAGCACGCATAATTTCAACGCAAATAATTATGTACAGTCTCTGCAATTTTATGTTTGTTGTTGGTTTTCTGATAATTTAAAAGTCCGGCTATCGATTTTCCTTTTGGATCGATCCAGTTTTCACAGTTTCATATCCTATATATTCCCTTCTATTTTGCATACGATTCAGATAAGATTTTTTTTATATACATATCTATACATAGTGTGTACTATGTATAGCTTACGATGAATCGTTGTCAATAATATAATTGTTCTAAACGAGTTGAGTCACTTTCACACCATTTTCTGTGTCACGGTTCGGCATTAGAACTTTGTCAGACGAGTTTGATTGGCCAAGAAATGAATATGACGAGAATAAAATGTGTCAAATTCCAGCCTGCTTTCGAATCAAACTTTTAAAATTGCAATTTTTTTTAATCGATATTCAAGAGTTTTTTTTTGTTTCCGATAAAAATAATTTGATTTTTTTTTTTTGATATGCTACGTATGTTTTCTCCTTTGCACTGTTTATCACGACGACGTAAAATCACTTATAAATATACAAATAAATTATACAACCGAATCGTTTGGATTTTCATCACTTCGAGGATATAAATAATTGACAGAATGTTGTCGACAGAAATGATCTGAATAATTTTAGAATGTGAACACATTTATTGCCTTTCAGGTTTCTGAAATTCAGATATTGCATAAAATTCTACATTTCGATTCGTTCGTTCTTGAATAACAACCGAAAAATAGATCTTCATTCAAGTCTGTGCTGGTGAATGAAAAAATAATAATATATAATAACACCGACACACATACACAGTTTTAATGCAAAAAGAGTTAACACAAAATTCATCCAAAATAGAGCACTATCATATACTTGAAAATAAATTGTGTCTCGGTATGTTATGCATATTTTTGCTGTGTGTTCTTCTTTTTTTATCTGTGTTCTCGAAAAAAAAACCGAGTATGCGCACGGGTATGTCATAAAGCAACAATAACAGGAAATTCTTTTTAGTAGCTGTGTATTTTGATTTGTAAACACGTTTTATCACCAGAACGACTGAATGTCAACTAGCACATACAGCATATAATTTCACTCAAATCGCACGTGTTGGAGACGTACAGCTAACGGAATGGAAGGAGGTCAAATAATACTGAATTTATTCAAAACACACTCAAATTCGTTGAATTCGTATGCATAGCAAGACATCGGCGTGAGGATGCGAGACTGAAGAGCGCGAGAGCATAGAGTCAACACAGTGGTTGAGTTAACGTATAACGCATAACACATCTTTCTCTCTGCTGCTGATTCACTGCTTATTTTTACTCACAATTAATGAGTGAAATTCGAATGCAATTCAAGTGGAATTTTCAAGAAACGATTTTTTTGCAGTAAAAGTTGATTTTGCTAACATCGCAAATATTAACTGACGTTTTCAAATTTTGGATTTTTTTCGCGCAGCGTTTCAAAGAAAAAAAAAGACCTCATAATTTACCGGTTACACGCCGTTTAAAAATGTATTTAAATCATTTTTGTTCAAATTGAATGGTATTTTGTTTATCATTTATTTCATGTGAGAGCCAAAAGAAAATGACTTAATGGGGAAATGGATACCTCATGCCTTTTATCTTGGAATTGGGCACAAATATAAACTATTGTGATCAATTTCCGGTAACCAGTAAACCTTGGAATATGTGAAACGCACATTTTCACATTTTTGTATGGAATCGGTCCAAAAAAGAAAAACGATTTGAAGCATTTTTCCCTAAATTGATTTTTAGGGGTTTTATAGGCGTTTTCATGTCCCTTTGAATTTGGAATAATGCTCAAATTGATATCTGTAACCTTGTTTGAGTAATGCGTGGTACAAACATAATCCTCCCTTTAATCAATTTCGATCCGAGTGGAATCAAAAACTCCTCTTTATTCGCATTTTCCTACGTGACGATTGTGTTCGTTTACAAACCATTTTTTCTATAAATCAGGCATCTTAAAAATCCATCACAGTGAATCGTTAATGATTGTAATCGTTGAGCGATTTTTCTGAAATCGTTTATACATTTGAACGCTCTAGAATAAAAACAATGTACTGAATGGTTGTTATATCAAAGCGGAACACAGCGTTTTTTTAACACAGGGATTGTTCCTCTGAGGAGGAGGAATGGTGAGGAGGAAAATGAGGAGGAGGAGGAGAGCGAGGAGGATCCTCCTCCTCAACTGAGGAGGAAAATGTTTTTAGCTAAAAATGATATTTTTGTGATAAAAATAGCCCTTTGATCCTCCTCGCTCTCCTCCTCCTCCTCATTTTCCTCCTCCTCAGAGGAACAATCCCTGTTTTAACATAGATTTGCTGTTGTAATGCAACTGTACGTTGTTTTTATTCTAGAGCGTTCATTTGTTGTAATGATGTGTTTTTAAGACGACCGATTTGTAGAAAGACTCGGTCCAGTAACAATCCGTCGGCCAAGTCCTCGAATCGTCCGGAAATTGGGTGCAATAATTATGTACAATGGCTTATTTATGGGTTTGATTGGATTATCCAACAATAGACGAAGTGTTTGAAGAAAATTTCAAAAATTGTGGGGAGCAAAGCATGACGATAAGGCAAAATTGCTTGCCAGCGCCACCAAATGACTCCATATGATTCTATATAGTTCTGCGGTTGCCAGCGGTACTAATCTCTAATAGAGCGTTGCCGAGCTGTCATTATCGTCGTGCTTTGGTGGGGAGTTGTGAGACACGAATAAAAATGGCACGAGATCGCATTTTTTGATGATTTATCTTTATTAAACTTGTAGAAAAATAAAATATAGATAGTTCTGGTAAAAAATTAAAGAAGAATGTTCGGTTTTATCCATTTTCGGCCAATTCGCATTGTTCACATGTATAATATCCGGTTTGCAAGTTAGCACACTTCAAATGAACAGCCCGATAACATTCATTACAATGAATTGCGTTATTTCGCATATTTCCCATACAAATTATGCAAAATTTAACATCTTCATCATCTGACGATTCAGATGAAATCATCGTTGCTGCTACGGATTTTGTGCTATGACTGCGCTTTTCTGGTGGTTTAGCGGCTTTTTGCTTCTTCCTCTCATCGATTAATATGGTTGTTTTCATTGGCATCCGGGCGTGATTTGATTTGCAGGATGGTGAATGCTTCTTTATAGGACTAACCTCTCTTAATGCACTACGACGCGCTGCACTAGATGTGCTTGGAATCGATGATGCACCATGTGTGTCCTCGATCCATATTCGATGTGGCTCAAGGATTGTTTCGCCGAATACAGTGTCTAGGTCGGCAAAGAGCTCTTCCAACGTTTCTTTTGAAAAAGCCTTACGATGTGCACTAACCTGTTCTGGTGGTCTAAGCGTTACATTTTTATGACGATGCATAAATGCATAATACCAGTCGGCTGATGCTTGACCATTATGATTCCATGATGCAGGATATTCGATTCCAATCTTTTGTGCGTATTGATGGGCAAGAATTTTTAACTCGGTAATGGACAATCCATTGCAAATTTCGCAAGCCTTGCGGATATATTTCATCAACTCATGTTCTTGTTGTACGTTGAAAATCTACAAAAAAAGGAAATATAATTCGCTAAATGTTTTTTTAAATAAAACAAATTCAAACAACAAACCGTTTTTCCGCCAGTTTTTCCACTTAGCTTTGTAACAAAATCGAACAATTTATCATTTGAAGCCGTGGCCGGATCCAAATTTTCCTCTTTCATCTTTGCCATATACCGAAATAATTTCGATTTATCGATGTTGAGTGATTTGCTGACGGCCCTTAATGATTTCTTTTGAATGGCAATTGCTTTGATGGCAGCCAAAAATTTATCAATATTTTCTTTTGCCATTTGCTTTGGCTCAGTTTTATATCTATGACGCGGCATGATGGCTATGAAAATCATAAAAAAAAACAAAAAAATCAATGTAATTAATTTGAATTTACATCAGACATTCATGTAATGCGTTAATAATAAAATGCCCAATATGTTTGAAATCTGGTGGTCAAATGTCGAAAACTGAATGTCTCACAACTCCCCATATTTTGTGTCTCACAACTCTTCATATTCGAAATTTTCAAAATGAATATCGTGTCACCATAACATACAATATTTTTTCAGAATAACTTCTTTAGATTCAAAGGCAATTGAACACAGATAATTTTAAATATATTTACCATTCGATTCACCTCGGCAATGTTTTCAAATCGTTTTTATTATATAAATAAAGTATAATAAATAATAAAATGTAATAAATATTTGTAGAAAAACTTGGATTGAGTGTTCTTGTGTGGAATGCTCGTAGCAAAGTGAGAGCAATGAATGAAAAACATTTTGACACTAGTTGCGATACTTCAAACTTATTCAATATGGCGAATATTGACGTGTCTCACAATTCCCCATGTTTCAAAACTCTCCACATTACCTTATTTGTTAATCGGTTGGGAAATGTTTCATTATTATATTATCATTTATCACAGTATCAGCTTCATTTTCAGTCTGAAGTCAGACGTTGAATAAATAAATTTAAAAACCAAATAATTCTTAAAAATCTCTGGTATATCTTGAAAATAACTATCAAGTAATTTGTTCAAATTGTCATACAAAAAAAACTGGTCATTCATATATATATACGTACCAAATGTCGACACCTCATAGATAGATGTCCAATGTTGGATACCATACGGGCTGACTTCACGGGCTGGAGATCCTACCCTTTGATTCATGCACCGAGTGTATTCAAATTGGTAACGTTTTTCAAACGGGCATGCGATGACAATCCATGCCTTAGAAACATTTTTGGATAAAAGACTATTCTCGTGTATTCAATACACACACGGGCGTCTTGCAATAAGTTATGAAACTTGAGCAACGAGTAACTATATTAAAATTTTACTGTTTAAATAGGACACTCCCCGTTTTAATCCAATAATCCAATAATCCAAATGTCGACACCATAGCATACGTAGGCTGCTCCATATATTTCTAGAAAAGCATATATAACGCAATCGTTTTTTATCAAAAATGGCTTTATTGTTTTTCAAAGTATTCGCCATGATGGTCGATACATACTTTTGCATACGCTCGAATCACTTGCCGTAGCATTCATGCCACTCCGAAACCGATATCTCCAAAACGTGTGTTTTGAACGCATCAACTGCTTCTTCTGGCGTCGAAAATCGTTGACCACGCAGTTTTTTCTTTACGCTCGGAAACAAAAAGAAATCGTTGGGTGCTAAATCAGGACTGTACGGTGGATTACCCATCAGTTCGATGTTTTGACTGGTCAAAAATTGAGTTGTTTGATTAGATGTGTGAGAGCTCGCATTATCATGATGAAGAATTATTCTGCGACGGTGGTTATTTTTTCGGATAGGTAGTCAATTTCCGGTCGATGTCAATTTTCGAAAAATCGTATATACTACTAAAATGTACTAATTATGTACAATTATGTACAACAATTTTTATGATTATGTACCAACAAAAAATTTTCAGAATTTGGATTTTTAAAAATTGAAAATATCAAAACCCGGAAAATGTTTACCCGAATTTGTACAACACCAAAGTTATACGTCGTTAAAATGTACAAAATATGTACAATTCAAATCACCCATCAGATTTGAAAAATTTTCATCGGGTCACTATCTGGAGCCAAAAGTTCAAAAATCAAAAAAGTTCGATTTACGGATTTTTTTTTTTTAAATTTCGTACACCTCCAGTGTATACGTCGTTAAAATGTACAAAATATGTACAATTCAAATCAACCATCAGATTTGAGAAATTATCATCGTGTACCCAAATTTCACCCAGTCCAATTTTTATAGCAGTTTTTGAATTCGCCGCGAATGGGCAACTTTTTAATCATCCATATTATCATAACAACGTATATTGTATAAAAATGTACAAAATATGTACAATTCAAATCTGTATTTAGATTTGCAAAATT